AATTTAGCGAAAATGAAGGCTATTAAAAAGTAAACAGCATTTTCCAAGGTATTACATTTTGTAGCTTGTCTTCAATAAGTATCTAAATGGTCCAAAGAGGTTGTATTCTACAGTCTGCCTGAATGTAATCATTGCGTAGGTGTGTAGTGTGATTCTGTGTAGTTTATTTATGGCATCCCGTTGGATTGGACGTCATCTGAACAGGACATCGCACGCTCACTGCTTGATAGCGCGAAGCTCCGTTTACGCCGGTTGTTAAGCAACATCGTTATGGGGAAATGCAAGTCTGCGTCCAAATGGTTGGAAGATAAGGAGGAAGGACAATCCATACTGTATATAGTCAATGTGAGGTAAAGTGTGTCGCCAAGGTAACCGGTTAGAACTCCAAGTGGCGATGAGGTCTTAACATTTATGGAAAAGGTCTTAAAAGGTCTTACATTTGACTTCAGGATTCCTGCATATACCCTGTGATGAACATATGCCCTTATATGTCTCAGTCACTAATGAGCAGAGCTGAATTCATTAAATGTTGGAGCAGTTTTCATTAATTACACCCATGTAATATTACACAGAGGCCGTTTAACACTTAATATACATCATTTAATTGAAGAATAAGTCCCTGCGTTACACTAAGCCGACCCCAGTTCATTCATTTGCGTAAATTAAAAGCACCGCAGTGACTATCTAGCGTGTGCAACATCACACCATCCAGCTTAGTATTACATGTGTGAGGATTCAGCTGCCACACTTTTAATTAAACCAACCAGCATGGGTTACATTTACGTTAAATCAACTAAAATCATATTTAATAAAAAGTCCAAGAAGCTAGTGTAGCGTTGTGTGGGTACATCTCGAGATGCAGTAAGGTGATAACATTTTCTTTGTTTTGAATTTAGGATTTTATTCAATGCTTTACATGTATTTAATATTGTAATGGAGTTTTTGTATTAATACATCCAGTACAGCCTTAGCGTTTAGCATTAAGCCTTATAAAAAGCAATCTCTTGGCTGTGGACTTACTCGAGGTTATAACCCACTTAGTTTAGTTTATTAGAAACGAGAAGTACTTTCTAAAAATGGGTGTATCTCAATGTCAAGGAAGGATGCTCCAGAGCCACTATTTCAAGGATGCTACGTCATCGAGTCCCGCCGAAGGACTGTTCCAATGTCCAGGCTCCTTGGAATTCTACCGAGCCCGGCGTCTTTCTTTGCGAGACATTTCGAGGCTGCACATGTGTATCCTCCGCGGTCTTAAAATTCCCACAATGCTTTGCGCACGGACCAATTTCCAAGATCTTTGGCGGAAATCGCACTCCATTTAAGGCGGGGCCTCGCATATGACGCACACCTGTTAGCCTGTTCCACCATTCTTCGTTTTCCGAGGCTAGGAAGGATTCTTGCATCGCTTCTGAAGGACCTGACTCGGAGGGACATGTCCTACCAAGGAAGCGTCCTCGACATTGAGAAACACCCAGAATCTCCCACCCTGTTGTCCCAATTAACCAATCAAGCATGGGCAGTTCTGGGGGAGGGGGACCAAGTTACTAAAACAAATATTAAGAAATAAGATAACAACAAAGTTTATTTTGCATTAATAATGTATTTATTTCCCGAAAATGCATTTTAATGTTCTGTATCTTCGGCCAAACTAACTAAAATAAATAAAAACGTTAAAGTAATCAACATAAAGTCTGTTTCAATTTTTTTTAACAATATTTTTTTTGAAGTTTTCAAATATAACGAACATAACACATACATAACACGGTCAGTCTAGGTGGCAGATACAGTGTACAATCAAATGAATAGGCATGTAAATAAACTAGTGCTGTCAAAATTATCGCGTTAACGGCGGTAATTAATTTTTTTAATTAATTGCGTTAAAATATTTAACGCATTTAACGCATGTGCAGAATGGCCTGCCCCATACGTGCCACCAGTGGCAGCGCCAGGGTATGGCTGGGGTAGGCTACACCCATACCAAGAAATGGCTTAGCCCCACCATGAAAAATGATGTTAAATTAAGCAAAATAAAGTCTGCCAACTCGCGCGGAGTAAATTGCACAGACAGCAGTTAGTAAGATTGATTTCAGAAGCCACGGTTTTGAAAACTTTTGTCACGTAGTGATCGTCTTCTCAATAGAACATCTTTGATAATGTCTTCTGGCCAATCAGAATCAAGATAACGGCGTGGTGTTGTTGCAGGAAGTCCCGACGGAGAATACTTTTGCTGTAGTACAGGGGTGCACATAACTGGTACGCAGGTTATGTGCGTAATCTGAAATGCGTACCGTCACTTGTGTCACAAAGTGCATTTGCGTACCGACGTACTTGTGAAGCTTTTCCAGAAGGCGGTTAGATCACCGGATGACAGAGTCGGTCTCCGTGTGCACAGACAGGGCTGCTGTTAACGTCGGTCTGTACAACGGAATTGTGCCAAAACTACGCCAACCGGCTGCGGAGGGAGACTCCCCCCCTTCACTGGAGAACTGCGCTAAAACAGCTGATCACAACGTTCACACTCTGTGGTCACGAAGTACTCCACTAGCCCCCCCCCCTCTGTCGACTTTCCTGAAGTACTCCCCCGTTGATAGAAATCAACACGTAATGAATTAAGACCCCACGGTAGGTGTGTGGGCTATCTTTCATTTTGACACACAGAACAATGTTATAATAAACATAGATACTGTATGTTAAATGGATATATCCGCCTTCTTTCATTTATCTTTCCATTCCCACAATAATATACATAAATAAATGGCATATTTTGGACATAGTTCGAATGGTGATTAATCATGATTAATTAATTTTTAAGCTGTGATTAATCTGATTAAAAATTGTAATCGTTTGACAGCCCTAAAATAAACACAGGTCAGTATACAGATGATACAGGGATAACAAAGTACAGAAATCTGAAAGAATATGACGTGTGCTACTACGCTTTATAATCTTATTACAAAGTCTGTTTCTAAATCAAACACCAATAATATTATTTTATGCGCTATGACTTGAAACCAAACATTTTCAAATCTCTTCCTTCCTGCATTAAATGGGTCCCTCTCATTACATTAATGTCCCCATCGCAGCCCCCCCCTCCCCCCCCAGTAAAATTAGTCTAGAACAATCACTGAAATCAAGACCTCACAGATTAATGAGAGGTCAGTTCTCTCTCCTGATTGGTTAGGACCCGCTCACCTGACCTGAGACTTGTTTCATAAACGATCCAAAAAAAGGCACCCCCCCAGTCTGACTGGCAGCAGATTTATCAGATTTATATTATTTGTGTCCAGGGCAACAATGAATACTTATTTCTATTTGAATGATCACACAGCGTTGAAGAACAGCTTTGACCCTCGCTCATTAACCATGAAGCTGTCGACGTCACTTCAGGTTTATTTTCAACTTCATTTAACTTAAAGGGCAGCATGCTGAAGTTGGTTACCATGGTTACCTACATCTAGAGATGACCTAGTTATCTAACAGGAAACCTCGAGTCCTTCAAACGACTCGCTATCTTTCCTCCTCTTCTTCCTCCTCCTCCTCCTCTTCCTCATGATAAGTGCTATATGCTTGTAAAGTAATGTATACCTTATTATGAAACACTACATAACGCTGACAGTTTGTAAAATACTTCATATGTATCATTAATATTTCTGTACTGTAATTTCTTATAACTGTTAACTAATTGATTTAATTAGTTTATTCGTTTATTGTTTGTCATTCAACGTGGGCAGTACACATTAATCAAAATGCTGTTAATTTGACAAAGTGAGCCAAGAGGCTGTCGTCCCTGGACAGATGTTTCAAAGTCGTCATAAATTATTGCATTAAAAACCATATTGCCTGAAGGCGTCATCATCCCCAACTTCAAAGATATCTGCCTATCCGTGTTCAGTATATTAGTTAGAGAGACGTTCTTCTGTTATAGCTTTAACGACAGCAAACCACGTCGTTATGCAGTCAAATAAACTACGTGTTGTTGATCTCTTAAAGGCCCCCTATCATACTGTGTTTCATCAATATATCACAGGTCTCAGATATATACAGAGCCTGTCTCTGATTGGCTGAAACACCAAACAGTGCTGATTCTCTGTCTGTTACTTTAGATGAAAATAAGGAGCCCCTCCCCACGCCCCTCTGAGAGAGATTTGGTTAGAAAGAACTCAATGGTGCTCTAGGAGAAGATTCAGGTGATAAGGGGGGGGGGGGTTACCTTGGTTGCTGATTGGCTAATGGTTACAACAAGACAAAACATCGTTATGACATCATAAAGTGGCCAAAATCTGATCAGCTTATTTTCAGACAGGTTTTTATAGAAATGGATCAAAAAGAGAGAGAATCTTTGTTCCTGAAACTTTCAGAGTCTCTTTCCACAGAGGGGACACATGTTGATGTAGAAGAGACATGAAGAAGAGGGGACACATGTTGATGTAGAAGAGACATGAAGAAGAGGGGACACATGTTGATGTAGAAGAGACATGAAGAAGAGGGGACACATGTTGATGTAGAGGAGACATGAAGAAGAGGGGACACATGTTGATGTATAAAAGACATGAAGAAGAGGGGAGACATGTTGATGTAGAAGAGACATGAAGAAGAGGGGACACATGTTGATGTATAAAAGACATGAAGAAGAGGGGACACATGTTGATGTAGAAGAGACATGAAGAAGAGGGGACACATGTTGATGTAGAGGAGACATGAAGAAGAGGGGACACATGTTGATGAATAAAAGACATGGAGAAGAGGGGACACATGTTGATGTAGAAGAGACATGAAGAAGAGGGGACACATGTTGATGTAGAAGAGACATGAAGAAGAGGGGACACATGTTGATGTAGAAGAGACATGAAGAAGAGGGGACACATGTTGATGTAGAAGAGACATGAAGAAGAGGGGACACATGTTGATGTAGAAGAGACATGAAGAAGAGGGTTTTGCATAATAGGTGACCTTTAACATGTTTTGTACTGACCCTCTCTATCTGTCCTCTCTCTCCTCAGTAACTGCCCCTGCTCTCTGGCTGCAGCTCTCGCCCGAGCCACGGCCGACAGCCTGCTGCAGAGCGACCTCTCCATTCACCACCTCAACAAGACCCCCGAGGAGGGACAGGACCCTGTAACACGTGAGCACACACACCATGGATATCATTGACAGCCTCTGTTTTCCCTCGCCTCTTCTCTCTTTGGTTTCCTAATCACATCCAGCAGGGGAGTCACACACACACACACACACACACACACACACACACACACACACACACACACACACACACACACATTATTCAAACTGCTGTATGAATGTGTATGTTGCATGTTACTGCTGTAGATGTTGAAGGTTGGGCTACTTTAAGTCCTTGTAGCTTTGTCACTGTTCTGTGAGAACAACACATCTGAACTTTCTAGTTTCCTCAGTCAGTACACACACACACTCGCTGTATTTCACCACCAGAGGCCAGAACTCCAGAAAACACTCACAGTCCAACTCACTAAATCACATTTAGTTCATAAGGCCCAATATCAATGCCAATTTACACACGGCATCTATTGCACATCTGTCCGTGCTGGGAGAGGGATCCCTCCTCTGTTGCTCTCCCTGAGGTTTCTCCCATGTTCCCTTAAACTGTGGGGTTTTCTCCGGAAGTTTTTCCTTGTACGATGTGAGGGTCTAAGGACAGAGGGTGTAAGGACAGAGGGTGTCGTATTGTCATACTGATATTCTGTACAAACTGTGAAGTCCACTGAGACAAATGTAACATTTGTGATATTGGGCTGTATAAATAAACATTGATTGATTGATTGATTGATCACTGCTTTTACACATGTCTCAGGGGGCTTTACAGACCACAGCATACCCTTTTTCCTCAGACCCTAGCAGCTCAGAAGGAAAAACTCCCCCCAACAAAACATTATTAATGGGTTCAATAGAAGAAACTAAGGACCTCTCCTAGGACAGATGTGCTATAGAAAATAGATATTACAGAATAAACAGCGTACAGTTACAACAGATGAACCAAGGACAACAATGATGATGACGACGATGATGATGAGGCTCTTTCTAACCATAGTCGCATTATAATGAAAAATACTTTTATACATTTCAATATTAAGTTTAGTTGGGTTGAATTATTTTACAGGAAATACAGCATCCACATATTTACCAATGATCTTCCCCGGTGTGTTGAAGAATATTATTAGAATATATTGTATTATTTATTTACTGACTCCTTTTCGAGTAACATTTTCCCAAAGAAACTGGAGCCTTTTTAAAAACTGAAACTATATTTGTGATGTATTCAGTTGTTATATCTTAGTACAGGGTAACAAAGTATTGAGAGAAAGATTTTTGGTCTTTTCATGGGATTTGTTGACATAAAACAAAACGTCCTTGCTGTTTAAATAGCTCAAACGCAGAGATGAAGAGATTATAATTAAACATTATTGAATAAAAGTGTGAAAGTTGATCTCTTTATGAAAACGCCTCATCTCCAGCACACCGTTCTTTATTGATCTTGCCTTTATCAGACTGCTGATCGCCCAAATGTCACACGTTAGAAAAGTTATGAAAAGTGTTCAATGTTGTCGTTCTTCACCTCGCTGTGTGTGTATTTTCAAAAGTAATACTTCTGGCGTTGCATAACAGATGATCCCTGCCTGTTTGAAGTCGCTTCCCTGCACTCTGTAGCTGTTTGCAAGGTGTTATGGGTAAATCCTGCTGCCAGACGCGACATCTTTATTTTGGAGCTGGAGATGAGGAAGGCGCTGTTTTTTGTAAGTGCATGTAGTTTTAGAAGCTGGAGGGGTGGACGGAGGCAATGGGACACAGTGTAGGCCGGTCCAGTTTTTGGGTGGAGCAGCGTGAGAGAGAACGCTGGCAAATGACAGGAGAGATTATTATTCCACCTGCAGCTAACATTAGTAGGTCAAACACACACACAGCCCCAGTCTTTGTTACCAGGGCGATGGAGCCCTGGTTCCTCGTCCTGCTCCACTAATTTCTCAATGACAGCTTCTGAGAAAAAGTAAAACGGGTCCCTGCGGGGCGTGACCCTCCCAGAGGACGGGGACTTTTCAAAATGTGGTTCTTGACACAGCAGAACAAGTTGAATCCTTTTAGTTAAACGTACAATCTGTCAAAAAGGATCTTACTCTGTTCTTTATTTATTTTCTACAACATAGGGGTCACGCTTTTTACAAGTTAATAACATTGTTATTCATATACTTTTACCTTGCCATATTTTAAAGTTGAATAAAAGATAAGGGTGTTATGTGAACTACATTTATCAATTAAAGTAGGTCAGACAAACACATCACCTTCTTGTAACATTTCACACACCAACTACTAATCATTTATTAAAACAAGTAATTGTCAGACTAACTAATAGCGTAAATAATCATTATTTGCAGCCCTCAGAAAAAATATATATCCCTACTTGAATGGAATAAAGAAGTAAACTGATCAATGATATAATATATGTTAACAATTAATATTTTGCATACAAACATTGCTGTGGTATGCCAGAGATAAGAGGAGTTGATGGTCCAACACACTAAACACGAAGAGAAATAGTTAAACTTTTAGAAACGTCAAGAAGAGAGGTTGGGGAAGTTGTTGTGATGTTTTTCGTTTCGTTTTTTTTAGCTACAAATTGCTTTTACTAATCGGTCCCTGACAAATAAGCTGTGTGTGTGTGTGTGTGTGTGTGTGTGTGTGTGTGTGTGTGTGTGTGTGTGTGTGTGTGTGTGTGTGTGTGTGTGTGTGTGTGTGTGTGTGTGTGTGTGTGTGTGTGTGTGTGTGTGTGTGTGTGTGTGTGTGTGTTAGAGATGGAGTCGGTGAAGTTGGCCTGGTTGGTGTTCAACCGGCTCTTCGAGGTGTGCTGCCTCTGGATGAAGGACCTGCCGTACCGCCGCCGCCCGCAGCCGTACTACGAGACGTCCATCCACGCCATCAAGAACATGAGGCGCAAGATGGAGGACAAACACGTCATCATCCCCGACTTCAACTCGCTCTTCAATGTTCAGGTATGACTCGAGCTGGCAAAAGTACACACATCCTTTACTCAAGTAGAAGTACGGATACTCGTGTTTAAAAATACTCTGATAAAAGTAGAAGTACTGACTAAACTTCTTTACTCAAGTCAAAGTAAAGAGGCTTTGAAATGTACTTCAGTAAAAAGTACCCATAACTAGCAGCTGTTTTAAAGAGTACCTGACCTCCCTTTATATTAATAGAACAATAATGTCATTGTTAGCTAATGAATGTTTCCATGCTGAACAACGGCAACATGACAACGTTTCCATTGGTCCCTCTTCTTTAGAGAAGACCAGGAAATGATGGATACACGGATCGTGTTCAAATCAATAAGCACGCAATGACTCTAAAGAATAATGATCACGCACCAAACACACATTCAGACTAAAGGAACCAGCTGTTTGGAAAATGAGAGAAGTAGAAAGTACAGGTATTTGAGTTCAACATGTAAGTAGAAAGTACAGGTATTTGAGTTCAACATGTAAGAAGTAGAAAGTACAGGTATTTGAGTTCAACATGTAAGAAGTAGAAAGTACAGGTATTTGTGTTCAACATGTAAGAAGTAGAAAGTACAGGTATTTGTGTTCAACATGTAAGAAGTAGAAAGTACAGGTATTTGTGTTCAACATGTAAGAAGTAGAAAGTACAGGTATTTGTGTTCAACATGTAAGAAGTAGAAAGTACAGGTATTGTGTTCAACATGTAGGAAGTAGAAAGTACAGGTATTTGTGTTCAACATGTAAGAAGTAGAAAGTACAGGTATTTGTGTTCAACATGTAAGAAGTAGAAAGTACAGGTATTTGTGTTCAACATGTGAGAAGTAGAAAGTACAGGTATTTGAGTTCAACATGTAGGAAGTAGAAAGTACAGGTATTTGTGTTCAACATGTAAGAAGTAGAAAGTACAGGTATTTGTGTTCAACATGTAAGACGTAGAAAGTACAGGTATTTGTGTTCAACATGTAAGAAGTAGAAAGTACAGGTATTTGTGTTCAACATGTAAGAAGTAGAAAGTACAGGTATTTGTGTTCAACATGTAAGGAGTAGAAAGTACAGGTATTTGTGTTCAAAATGTAAGAAGTAGAAAGTACAGGTATTTGTGTTCAACATGTAAGAAGTAGAAAGTACAGGTATTTGAGTTCAACATGTAAGAAGTAGAAAGTACAGGTATTTGTGTTCAACATGTAAGAAGTAGAAAGTACAGGTATTTGTGTTCAACATGTGAGAAGTAGAAAGTACAGGTATTTGTGTTCAACATGTGAGAAGTAGAAAGTACAGGTATTTGTGTTCAACATGTGAGAAGTCAAAGTAAAATGACTTCAGAAAAAAATAAGATGGGATTAAATTAAAAGAAAGTTTCATCACAAAACTAAATGATATCAATTAGAGAACAATAAGATATTTCTTTATCTCACAAAGTCTACCACAATAGGATATTGATTCAATTCAGTGGCCTGCACAAGACACCCATTTAAACAATGCGTTGTGTATCAAGCAACTCAAATATGATCCACAATTGAAATACTGGTTTCTTTATGAAGGAAGTGTGCTTGGGTGGAAATGGTGACATAGATAGGGATTTTCTAAATGAAAGCATACCTTAAAGATGATGATACAGTATGCATTGCAGTTTAAACCACTAAAACAAACCTTTGATTATTATATGTACTCCTTTAAGACCTGAAGTCTCTATGTGATTTTGTGTTATTGAATCTATCTGCTAAATCACCCTTTGTGTCTCTCAGGATCAGGAGGAGCAGGCTTACTTTGCCGTGTTTGACGGTCACGGCGGTGTCGACGCTGCGATCTACGCTGCCAACCACCTCCACGTCAACCTGTTCCAGCAGGAATGCTTCAGACAGGACCCGATGGAAGCGCTCTGCAAAGCCTTCAGAGTCACCGACCTGGCATTTATGAAGAAGGCCCGACGAGAGGTAACCGCACCTGCAAACAACAAAACCACAAAGTGTAAACTATTCTACTATTATAAGATAAGATAAGATAGGACTATATTTATCCCGAAGGAAATTGTTGTGCCAGAGTTACAAAAATACCATAAACACAGCAGCATAATAATAATAAAACTGTACACTAACAGTGCAGTCAAAAGAGCAATCCAATATCTACAGGAAACATAGACGGTCACTTAATTAATGTAAATATTAACAGTATTTAGATAGATTTAGCAGATATGTAATTGCACATTATGAGTGAACCTGCTACGAATATTACTGCTGATGCTCGTACTTCTTCACTACATGTTTAGGTGTTTCATGTTTTAACATGACAAAATGGCTTTAATGATTATGAAAGTTGTTTTTAATCCTGTGTTAAGTGCATAAATCATAATCTCTTCATTTGAAAACTTGTGGGGTAACAAGAACTGGTGTTGCAGCTGCTGCTTGGTGTGCACATTAAATACTGTAACGTGTGTGTGTTCGCAGCACCTGCGTTGTGGCACGACGGGCGTGGTGACGTTCCTTCGGGGCCGCACGATGTACGTCGCCTGGCTCGGAGACTCCCAGGTGATGCTGGTCAGGAAAGGGGAAGCGGTGGAGCTGATGAAGCCACACAAACCAGACCGAGAGGTAACACACCGGGTTCCACTTTAGCATCACACTAGCAAGGTTTAGATGAGAACAAAATAGCTAAAAAGATTAGATCATTCATTTAAATCAGGGGTGTCAAACTCAATTTCATCGCGGGCCACATTCGCATTATGGTTGCACTCAATGGGCCGGTTGTATCTTTAAGACTATATCAATATTTATATATACATATATAAATATATAATATATATTAAAAAAAATATGATATTACATTATTGCCTCTGCATTGGATTATTATCGAATAGGGTAATAACTTCTTAATTAACTAAGTCTGAAAGCAGAAGTTTATGGCAAATAATTGCAAGTCTCTACAGTGCGCATGTCACAAAATGAGATGCATTCTGGGACATGTAGTTTATGGGCAAGTGCTTCTGTAAAGCGGCATGTAACCGTATAATAAACATATTATATTCTTTCAGAGCTCTGACAGGCCACATAAAATGAAGTCCTTGGGTTTGACACCCCTGATTTAAATAAACTGCCATTCAAAACAAAAACATATGAATGAAATATGAACTTATGGTAAAAACATAGGTACCATGTGACCGTCCTCCCCACTAAACCACTTGATGTGTGTGTGCAGGATGAGAAGCTGAGGATCGAGGCTCTGGGAGGCTGTGTGATCTGGTTTGGCACATGGAGGGTTAACGGCAGTCTGTCTGTATCCAGAGCAATAGGTGAGCTGTTGATAAACACATGTTTACATATCATTTAATTTTCCATTCATGTTTTGAATTGAGAAATTAGTATTGTTGCTCTAATTACTGACATTATCCCACATATATGATGTCAGGGCTGTCGTAACATCCACTTCATGTTTTGATTTAGTGTATTTAAGACTACATTATGAATACAACAAAAAATAAATTGGACCCAATGTTGATTGGCATGGGACTAATATCATCCATGACCTCTGTGTTTGGGAAAACATGGTAGGTCTTTTGCAGTGGAATTTGTAATCATTACTAAAATGACTAATTTACAGACATTGAGGATTTTGCACGGGATAAGGTCGCAGAAAATCTCTCCTTTTTATTACACATTTCTAGATGTCACCAGTTAAAACTAGTCCCTTGTAAATCGTTTTTTTGTCTCCGGAAACAAGAGAATCTACTCTCACTCTGTCTGTCCTGAATGCCAGTATTAGCAGAATAACCTTCGACATGTGTTGACAGGCGACTCCGAGCACAAGCCTTACATCAGCGGGGTTGCAGACCATGACATCTGCCCTATGGACGGCACAGAGGACTACCTGATTCTGGCCTGCGATGGTTTCTGGGACACGGTCAATTCTGAAGAGGCGGTGCGAGTGGTGAGCGACCATCTTGAGGAGAACAGCGGAGACACCGCCATGGTGGCCCACAAGCTGGTAGCCTCGGCCCGGGACGCAGGCTCCAGCGACAACATCACCGTCATCGTGGTGTTCCTGCGGGACCCTCGCTGCCCCCCACCCGGCGGCACTGAGGACAGGGAAGAGGGGGTGGTGGTGGGGGAGGAGGTGGAGGAGGAGGATGATGAGGCTGGAGGGGGAGAGCGCGACGGGGGAGAGGGAGGCAGCAATGCGGACAACGGGGGGAAGGCTCGCGGCGGCTGGCCCCTGCAGCAGTGCTCGGCCCCCGCTGACCTCGGATACGAAGACCGAACGGACTCGCTCACAGACAGAACGAGCCTCTGCCTGCTGGGGCCAGCTCTGGAGGGCCGCATCTCGCTGACGGGGGCCACGAGGCAGCCGCGCTCCATCTTTGGCCTCGACGTCTTCTCAACCTCCCACGTGTATCCAGAGCTACGCCCACTGAGGCGCAGGTCCTGTCTCCCCTTCCTGACGCCCAGCATGTCTAGCTTCACGGACCCCCTGTGGCCCCAGACTGCCATGTTGTTAGGCCAGGTAGCGAGGCGGAGCCACGGGCCCGGGTATGGCGGTCGTCGTCGGAGACCCGGAGCCTCCAAGGAGCTGCTGGGGCTGCTACCCTGCGGCCAGCTGCTGCCACACACACAGCGCCGCTCCATCAGCAGGCCTGGAGCTGCAGAGCTTCACCTGCCCCATGATGCCTCCATTTAGAGAGGCGACCCAAACCATCTCCTTCATTTATTCATCGGCCCCTCAGCTCGCCCTCACATCCACCTCTGCCTTCAACAACACGTCTTTCTTTCATAGTCGATAGTTGTTGCTCCTGCTGAATCTCTGTCGGAGGAGTGGTGCTCTCTGTTCTAATATTTCCCAATGTAAGCTGGCCCACTAAACACAAGCCCTGCTCCTTAATGCTAAAAAACGGCATCCTTCTCCAATGTTCACTTGCATTCAACACATTAAAGTTGAATTGTAATGCTTGGTCGCTCGTGGTTTAAGCAGGGTCTGTTTTTAACAGAAAGAAAAAAAGTTATAGGACCAAATATAAATTTGATCTCATCACTTGCTTGAGAAAAGTAAGAATTCACACTACTTGGCCAAAACTATGTTGAAACCTGAAAATTGCACCAAAATGTGATGGTGAACATGTTATTACAAACCCCTGAGTATTGATGTGCTAATTAAACTGTTATTTCTTAAGATGTTGGATCCTGGCAGCACAGATTTGCTCACTTTCAGCTACAACAGCATTATCGAGGCTTTTAAATGTTAAAAAGACTCTCTTTTGTCATTTGTTTTAGCTGTAGCGTAGCATTAAGATTTCCCTTAACCCTAAGACTAAATTCATCTTTTGCAGTTTTCGTGTGCTTTTTTCACCTCTGATTTGGAAACAAGCTACATAGTAAACATAGCTGTTCAAAAGCATACTTAAATAACAATAACACTAATAGATAGTGTGAATTAAGAAGCGCTTTATTATTTACAAAATATCACCATACGTGTATTATTAACATATCATCACTATTATACATTTTGAAATATCATGGGCAACATCAATGCTGGTATATCAAAACATCTTTACTTACAGCTGTAAATGGAGGATGTGCCAACACTTTCTTTTGAGAAAGCTGTTGCCTACGTTGAGAAAAGCTACACAATTTGAGTTTAATATATGGTTCGTCTGGACCATAAATTAAACTCTAATTTTGTAGCTTTTGAGAGGGCTGGAACAATTTTTTTCCCTGTTCTTTTGTCCTCATACAGACAATCGTCCAGCTATTATCCAGCCACAATCTGTCTACAGATAAAAGCACTTAACACAGGATTAAAAAAGATTAGCAGTCACTTACCTGAATACAAGCTTAATGTCCTCCAGTATTCCAAATGGTGATATACTCCAGAGATAATAAGTGGAGAAGCATTTAATAGATGTTGTTGGTGCCCACGTTGCAAAAAGTGTATTTACAATTAAACAAAACCCATTGAACATATCTTATTTCAGCAGGCTTATTAAGTGTGAGCTATTAAAATGTTTGGGTCAGGATATATAAAAGCTGCAGAGCACGTGCCTTTCAAGTGTGTAACAAAAGTCTGCTTCCTGTACACATATATTCAGTTATTACATTACTGTGCTTCTGTTAAGTACAAGTCTGGCCTTCATGACTCTGTGCCCCTTTTAAGGAATAGTTTAATAGTGTTGGGTAATATAATACTTACCATTCTTTCCAAGAGTTATGTTATGGCTGTAGCCTATGCTAAAAACGAAGCTACAGCTAGCAGCTAATTAGCTTAGCCTAGCATAAAGACTGGAAGGCGGAACAGCTAGCTTTAGCTTTAGCCTCTGTCTTTTAGTAGGATATATGTATATTTAGGAGTTGTTTAAAAGTCAAAATACTTGCAAGCTTTGTAGTAATATAACAAACATTGGATTAAACCAAAAACATATAAACCGTTATGCTACAAGGACGTTGTTAGCTCAAATCTTACCGTAGTCATTTTAGGAAAAAATAAGATAATCCACTTCAGAGAGCAGAGCTTATTTATCAGTAAATAATGAGGTCCTCACCAATTTAGGCCGACTCCTGCGACAGTAAAGGACATTTATCACTGGATATCTCTCTGGTTTGATGTAGATTCAACAATGGAGAGCCCCTCTTCCCTGCTGACAGTGGAGCAGATATTTAAGCAATTTTCCAACTCAAGTCTTTATGACACGTTTCATAACACCTGGCTAGCATGAAAGCCAGTTTCTCCATCAACATTCATTGGTCCATACTGTGTATCTAACAGCAAATATGCTAGTGTTCCTACTCAACAATATTAATGCATAGTAATAATTAACTAAATGTAATCATCAAATAATACTGATTAACAGGGTAAAAATAATATTAGCACACAGACTGATCTGTGTCACACAATAGTATTACTGTGTCTAACCATACTTAATGATTATGAACTAACTGCACTGCAAACTTGGTCTGAAACTATGAAATCATAGCTAAACCCAAAAAAATGCTTTGGTGGCATCTTTATAAGTTTGGAGCAAGTGACTGTTCACTAAACTATTTAATCTGAGATGGTAACGTTTGCCGTTTGTTTTTTGGGGCTGGGGAAGGCAAAAAAAAAGACACTCGCAACTCATTTTATACCAAGTATTTGGAAGAATCCTTAGTTAGACAGCGTGTCGTGCCCATGGATGTATAGGTCGTGCCCCGTTGCGAGTGGGGTGTATCAAACGGCCATTTTGGACACATTTATTATTCCCTAACATTCCTTAACATCGTCATTCCCACATTCTTTGGTTGAATTTCCAAACGCCAGGACGTGAGTGACGACCAGGTGCTGTAAATTGAGCCTCCACTTTTGTGGCAGTCACACACATAAGGTGGTATCCGAAAATGTGATTCACCAGGTACTGGTTTGAGGGTCAGTCTTACTGGTAAACCATTATGTGGACTGACAGAGCATCAGTGGAGCAGAATGTACCTCAAGGACTCGGTGTCGAAATTAGTAGGTGTCTTTTTTTTCGATTGGCGAAGATTCGCATCTGAAAAGGCATCTTAGATATGAGGAATGTCCTGCCGGGACTCTACACAAACTAAAGCCACTGGATCCCTTTTAGGGAAATATCACTGCAGTCTGTCAAAAGGCTAGTTGATACACAAAGAAGATCTGGGGGAAATAAGGATATCACAGTCATATATAATATATTACGAGTACTTATTGTAAGTTTCTTAAGAAGTGTACATATTATAATTCTGTCTTGTAAATCAGTGGTTTTAATCCATGCTCCACAAGGATCTGGATCCCAAGCCTTGCTTCACCGAGGTGGAGACGAGGGTGTGATGTTATCTAGGGGCATCTGTCTATAAACACTGCCGCTGCCTTCAAAAAGCTACTGAACTATATCAAAAGGTTTTTAAAAAGTTTGACTTTAACTGGAAGAGTTTTAGTTAAACTATTGTGGCCTAGCTGCAGTTACACCCTGCTTTCTTACCCTGACAGGAAATAAAAAAAACTGGGGAGAACGTTCTTTAAGATGTTATTATTGGCTTAAAATACTGTTTCTCCAATCTGCAGCTTGGATTTGAACATGTTTTATCAGTAACAGCCTTTAAAAGAAAAACATCTTGCCAATCAAATTATATCAGTACTTTTTAGATTTTTTATTTCCCAGCTCAGCAGGTGTTAGTTGATTAGCTTGGCGTCGATTAGAGATGAGTAACACTTGAGCTGTGGTGATGATTGAGGTAAAATGGAGTTTCACTTATAACCACTGTGTTGCAAGTCTTTTAGATAACATTAGATATTTTACATGGATCACACAGGGCAGAAAACTCTAAAGCTGCAACAGGGACATTTTTTGGTCTATGGATCTTGTTAGAATGACAACGTTTTCTCGGGGAGTCTTACAAATATTCACTTAGTCTATTATTCCTGTAATACCCACAACAATAGCTAAATTAACAATATTGCTAAAGAAACGTCATTCTGGTTTGGTGAAAACCATCGCATAGCCATTGCTGCAGAAAAAAACGATAAAAAAGTTTAAAGTCCTGAAACATCACCACAAGTTATTAGCCAACACACAGAAGCTTAGCACGTTAGCATGCTAACTGAAATGTCATTAGACTTGCAGGTATTTGATCAAAAAGTATTGGACAAGTAATTGACCTGCTGGTGGCACTAGATGACACATTCAAATTTGACCTAGAACAAAAATGTTATCCTCAAAGTGCGCTAGAGAAAAATACAGATGAGCACAGACGTCCGCAGGATTCATTCTCTGGGGGAAACGAAAAATATAGTTTTTTAAACATAAGTCTGTACCAAGATGACCATTTTTGGACTGTGGGTGCTCTTTATGATTTCTATAATTACAACACAATAGGTTTTCTTTTTACAGTAAGATAGTTTGCAAGATGCTTGGTGTTTTGTCATTATAACAAGATCTAACAACAAATTACTTTTTTTAAGATCACAGATGTGTTTTTTGGTAAATGGTGGGGAATAATTGAAGCACTATTGTCCCACCTCAGAGCAGCTGCAGCTGAAGTAGTTTCACAGCAGATGTTCAGTGTTCAAACTCTGAGATCTGGAGGGTAACACAGACGGGATTTCAAGGGTTTCATTCACAATACCTTCGCCAAAATCAGTTATACAGTGTTACTCAAAATATATCGCAAACTGCCAGAAGTTGTCACTGTATGAGCAATAAAAACATCACTCTACCTAAGCTCGAGAAACCCACACGTCCTCCCTCACTCACGCTTTGCTTGCACTAAAACGTTCCTCTGAGTCGGATGTTTCCCTCCCTACAGAGGCCCTGAGAGGCAAGTGAGAAAAAAAGCGAATCTGGTGTTACAAGTCTGATTTAAATAGTTTTCCATTGACTTAAACGTCAACATAAAGGATGTGTTGATTACAACCACAAGGAGGGGGAAATTGAGTAATAATCCTTGCAAAAAATTGTATTACCACCTGTAATAAAACCAGGTGAGACACCTTTTGGTTCAAATCAGAGATGAAGACAATCCCTTTCCTCTCAGGGTGTCTGTCTGTAATCGTCGACGATGAAAGCCAGCAGAAGTTCAGCTCTGCTCTCCTATAATCACTGTCTCAACTATAGAGTGCCCCTCCAGGAATCTGCACTGTGTGTCTGTGAACACGCAAAAAAAGCTTTTTCTTTTCTCTGTAAGCAATAATGAAGTTGCATTAAAAGGCTCTCTGAGGGCTTGTCTTCTGCTGAAGAAAGGAAAGGTCACCGAGCAGAATCCCTGAAGCTCCTGAAGTCCTTTTCTCATTCATCTTTCCCTCCATAGAGAACAGTATGGTCACTGTACACTTCCTGGGAGAGGGTCATTTGGAGCTAAAACATTTTGAAACGTACATGTCTGTGGGAAAAACGAATGTGAAGAAAATGGCAGGATGTTTGAGTAATTTTCAACAATGTACATTTAAAAAAAAAAATGCTTAGACTTCTTTGCACTCTGTTTAAATGTATGCTAATGTGGTTAATAAAGGGGAGGGTGTATAAGATCATGGAGGGCTGGGATTAGTCCTCTCAGTTGGAAGACAAGCCCCATGATTGGCTCTTCTTCAACAAGCAGGTTAGGTTAAAAACAAACAAAAAAAACTGTAAACACACGTTGAGTACCTGTATTATGTGTTCTTGTAGTATATACATTATGTGTACTGTAACTGGTGACTAAATATCATGTATATAAAGATTAGAACAAGTCCTCGACTGATGCCTTTTCTTTCTTGAACAGTTGTGATGTTTGTCTTTTCATGCAAATGATTGTTCTCCAAGATTTCTCAGAAGGACATATTGTACTTTTAAGTTAAGATGTTTGCAAACTAAACAAGTGAAGATCAATAAGTGAAAGATGTCCAGCTTCACACATTTACCGTCTTTCCTAACAATGATTTAGAAACAGAACATTTCATACCAACATTGAAATAAGCTGCGATTGAAATTAAAATGAAGCCATTAAGATCACTTATGGAAACATTACACACTTGTTTTTAACAACGTATTTGTTGTTTTTGTCTAACATTAACTCCTGAAACAAAAAAAAGTGTACTCGCCATTTTCAACAATATAATAAATATAAATACATGTAATTGTACAGACATGGACAAAGTACTCAGATAATGTATTTCATTTATGGTAGATAAACCAAAGTGTAGAAATACTACCTCATAGTAAAGAAAGATACAAGTATTTTACAAAACAAAAATATATCCTTAAACCTACCGATAATAAAAGCACAGTATGTAGGATGGCACATTTCAGAATCTCATATGTTCTAATGATGCATTAATGTGTGAACGCTTCAACGTAAGGCCAGTAAAGGTATGATTGTAATAAGTATATATGTCGCTGGGTAGTTTAACCTAATATAACGCATGATCTAATAATTCAAAATAAATGGAGAAGAAGAACAGAGTCAAGCAAATACAGATTTGGGAAATTCTCATGTAAAATACAAACACCTCAATAATTAAGTACTTGTAAGTACTCAGTATATCTACTTAAATATCACACACACAATGAAAGTTTGGTCATTTCCGGGGTTCGTAAAACATTTTATTTACTACACAATAAGGAAATGTACACATTAAATAATGCACAGTGCATTCTGGGAACATTCAAACAAAAGAAAGCAGCTTTTGACACAGGAAGGGGAAATTGTTAATAAACAGTGAGAGCCTCCATCATGTAAAGAAACCGTAATAAAAAGGACATGATGAAGAGGAGAGGAGATGAAGATATTAACACTTATTCTCTCTGGGGAATGATTTCAGTTTGACTCGACACAAACTTCCACGCTGCAGAAAAAGCCATGCGCGTTCAGGCACGAGTACAGCAAGCTTTGCATCTGCATGTACTGTAAGATATCTACAAAGTAAACTAATGACTATTAATGTCATTACTTTTGAACCAAAGATGAATAGACCTTCAAATTAAGATGTGGCTCAGTGTGTGTGTGTGTGTGTGTGTGTGTGTGTGTGTGTGTGTGTGTGTGTGTGTGTGTGTGTGTGTGTGTTTTCTCCAGTGCAGCAGCCTTTGACGTGTTTGTTGGGAGTATTGAGGTGAAAAATAATAAATCCACGAGGAGAAGCCAGTGAAGCAGCGAGCCATCAGTTCAGCGCCGAGCACACGTTACATAATTACAATGATTTGTTTAACCTTTGCTGTCAACTGCTCTTAAAATTGAAAAAGCCTTGGATGCGCCGCAGCTTGAGTTGAAAGTGTTTTCACTCTGAATCTCTGCTTCTTCACCCACACAATGAAGCGGAAAGGAATTTCATTTGTGGTGCCGACGATTTTGAAATCAGAAACATATTTTTCTGGAGGAAATGTCGCTGTTACTCCGAATGACCAACAGAACATTGTCCAGTTTTCATTGGGAGAAACACAGTAACAGGGACATTCATCTGGAGAGGCGAAGCTGCCTAGGAATTGCTTTAATGTAACTTTTCAGATCTTCACAAACAGATGCGATGACTATTCAGTAAAGCTGTAACAATCTTGATAAACCAATCATTTCTTAAAGCAAATATGCAGTTTAAAAAAAATCCAGTTTCCCCAATGTAAACACCGTCTTACTTTTCTATAATAACGAGATGTATGAAAATGTCAACCAATAAAGTAATTTGCTATTTTTTGGGTCAATAAAGGGTCAAACATTTCGTGCGGAGGCAGACATCTTGGGTGAATCAACCCTTTCATCAGAAAACGTTTGCAGTCTTTTCCACAGGAGACATGTGGACATTAGGAAGTAAGGAAAGCACCAGTGAATAATAGCTGCTTCATGTTTAAGGGTCCTGGTTTTGTTCATGTTGGCTCGCTGAGACACTTTAATAAAACACAGCTCTTGTTAATGTTAAATGTCACATCTGTGCTTTTCCTGCTATGACAGCAATGAAGCTGCCGTGACGTCAGCGACTAAACTCCAGAGCATCTCAAAGAGAGTCTTAAGGCTAAGCTAAGCTAACCAGAGACAGCTTATTTATGTACTGTACAAACATAAGTGGTATTGATCTATGTGTGCTACTCTCAGCATGAAGGGAACAAGCATTCTCCAAAACTTAAGTCATACGTTCCTTTAAATGAATACAAAAATGGCTGCATTTTCAGTGTATTAAGCGTCGTCCCGGAGCTCAGGTTGCAGGTCAGTGACGTCCGAGCAGAAGCTCAAACACCTGCTGGCACGTTGTTACTAACTCAGATGTGCTGCATGTTTAACAGTTTGCAGCCCGCGGACATCTGTAGTTTCATAATCTGTGATTCAGTGATCATTTAACCTTTTCAAATGTCACGTAAGACAGACTGCTGTTATTAACGCAGAACACATTTACATAAATTACCAGAAAAGAGCTCCAAACAAAGTGTACCTCGGGGGGGGGGGGGGTTAAAGTGTCTCTGGCAGCGATGCTGAGAAGTGCAGAGACACCATGGTGGAGGAGGTGGAGCGGATGTGCAGACTGTGGAAAGCAAACCGTTATAAAACACTAAGCTCTTATTGACAGGCTACAGATGATACTCTCTCCTCAGAATATTGCAAATATACTGTAGACCTGAATGACAAACGCCTTTATGCACTGAGGTGGGCTGATTTTAGTGAATTAAAGTGACTAAATGCCCTGTAGGTGTTCATCTCTGCTAAATAAAACAGGTTTTAAAGATTCAGTCGTTGCCCAAATGAATGTTTCCTGCTAAGTATTTACTGAACTGACCATGAAGAAATGGAAGTAGGCATATCTATTGATTCAAAGTAATGCAAGGAGAGGTTAAGAAATAGATATGAAATGTTAGTTAGTATTCACACACTATTAAAAGGATGTTTGGATGTTTTGAAGAGTAGACGGTGAATGGCTGCTCCCCAGTCTGAAGAAACACAGAGGACGTATGGCATGCTCTCTTTAAAAGCCACCAGACTGCATTGAAGAAAAACTAATGTCACCTTTCAGAAAGCGGAGGTTGATGATGACTTCAGTGAATCTGAATTAACCCATTATAAAACCAAACTCACAACAAAAACCACAAACAAGCTAACCAACGAGGCAGAAGTAGATCCCTAGCTCGATCGTCTGGGAGTCTGGTGGCTTTGAAAAGATCATACATAACCCTTTGGGTCTTTGTCAGGAAGGGGATCTGTCAGCAACGTTGAGCTATGGAAATTAATCAGTTAAAGTACATTTTGCTTCAGCCCCCAGTGCACAGCAGTGCTTTACCTCCGTGCACATACTCCTGTCACAAACCAGAACACACTGCAGTAATACACTGGATGTGAGTAGCCCCCCTTCAAAACATCCAAACCATCCCTTTAAAACATGGCTGTTATGTGGTCACCTGGACTGTTAGCACCACCTCAACCACAGGCCGCCATTATTTCTTATTTAGGGTACCAAGCAGCTGAATCGTTGCAATCATTTTCCAATCATGCACAACAAGCAGTTCCTACTTCTACAGATGTGTGTGACAGAAGAGAGTGTGTGATCTCCGGCAGTGAGGGTGAAGACGCTTCAGAGGGAATCACCTGTCAGCAGGAAGACTCATGTCCTCACACAGAAGCTGCTCCCCTGAGGAAGAAGAAACAATACATTGCTGTTAACACCTGTCCTGTGTGCTTCTGAATGTGTCTGTTAACCCGTTTCATTTAATGTGTGTGTGTGTGTGTGTGTGTGTGTGTGTGTGTGCTGTGTGTGTGTGTGTGTGTGTGTGTGTGTGTGTGTGTGTGTGTGTGTGTGTGTGTGTGTGTGTGTGTGTGTTGTGTGTGTGTGTGTTACCTGTGCAGGGAGGGGTATGGTTGTCGTAGCGAGAGTTGTTGCTCTGCAGAGCCTCGTCTTCAGAGTCGCTGTCGGTGCTCGCTGCGGCCACCAAGACACACGGAGACTTATCTGCAGACGGGACATGAGGAGACCGACAGAGCAGTTATTTTATATATCACAATTTAAGTTTTAGAATAAATGTTAATAGCTATAAATACACATTAGGTTTAACACTCCACCACCTCAGTTCACTTGCTAATTCTCCCTCTTTCCCCAGACAACAATTTATTTTGAATTTATCTCCTCAGATAAATCAAGATTATTGTTATAGATTTTCTTGGTGATGATTATTCAATGCCTGACTAACTCCAGCCTGTCGTAAGACATTGTAAAGATGAAACACCAGCAATGAAAACAATTAGGTTGATAATCAAGATGTATATTGAGCGCATAACAATAGCTGCCCCTAGTACTAAGATGGGTTAAATGCAGAGGTGTGTGCATGTATGTGTGACTATTAAAGATACCCGATTCTATTCTATATTCAAACTGAAGCATAATCCTAATCTTGAAAATGAAATGGTTAAAGTTAAGCATTTTATAAACTTTGTATAAACTCTGGTCATTGCTGCACATGCTAAAAGAGAAAGTAAAAATCTCCTGTTGGCAGCTGGGGGGTAGACAGACCTTCATTTGACTGAGGCTGTGCAGAGGGTCCCTCCAGCAGGCAGTGGTGGGAGATTCCTGAGCTTTCAGATTCACAATCCAACATGGCTGCCCTGCAGGTGGAGAGAAGTACAGGATTGTTTGTGAGAGGCGGAGAAAGAGAGAGCAGTAATCCTGAGTGTTATGAGCCCGGGACCCACCCGAGGGTCCTGCTGCCGGAGGTCTTGCTGGTGGTCATGTAGCCGGGCACTCCCAAGGAGAAGATCTCGTCCATGGCCCCCGAGGACCCGTACAGCTGGTCTACCACGGAGTACTGCTGCTCTGAGCAGGAGCAGAGGGACACGAGGGGCCCCTGGGAGCCCTCAGCCATCAGCACTCCTGGAGGAAGAGACAGGAGAGACATGAGAGACATGAGAGACAGGAGAAAACAGGGGAAACATGAAAGACGGGAGAGACGGGAGAAACGGGGGAGACAGGAGAGACGGGGGAGACAGGAGAGACGGGGGAGACAGGAGAGACGGGAGAGACAGGAAAGACAGGAGAAACAGGGGAGACAGGAGAAACAGGGGAGACGGGAGAAACAGGGGAGACGGGAGAAACAGGGGAGACAGGAGAAACGGGGAGACAGGAGGGACGGGAGAGACAGGAGAGACAGGAGAAACAGGGGAGACAGGAGAAACAGGGGAGACAGGAGAAACAGGGGAGACGGGAGAAACAGGGGAGACGGGAGAAACAGGGGAGACAGGAGAAACAGGGGAGACAGGAGGGACGGGAGAGACAGGAGAGACAAGAGAGACAGGAGAGACAGGAGAAACAGGGGAGACATGAGAGACAGGAAAGACAGGAGAAACAGGGGAGACGGGAGAAACAGGGGAGACATGGGAGAGACAGGAAAGACAGGAGAAACAGGGGAGACATGAGACGGGAGAGACAGGAGAAACGGGAGAAACAGGGGAGACAGGAGAAACAGGAGAGACAGGAGAAACAGGGGAGACATGAGAGACAGGAGAAACAGGGGAGACATGAGAGACAGGAGAGACGGGAGAAACGGGAGAGACAGGAAAGACAGGAGAAACAGGGGAGACAGGGGAGACAGGAGAAACAGGGGAGACATGAGTGACGGGAGAAACAGGGGAGACAGGGGAGACATGAGAGACATGAGAGACGGAAGAAACGGGAGAGACAGAAGAAACGGGAGGGACGGGAGAGACAAGAGAGACAGGAGAGGCAGGAGAGACGGAGAGACAAGAGAGACAGGAGAGGCAGGAGAGACGGAGAGACAAGAGAGACAGGAGAGGCAGGAGAGACGGAGAGACAAGAGAGACAGGAGAGGCAGGAGAGACAGGGGAGACAGGAGAAACAGGGGAGACATGAGTGACAGGAGAAACAGGGGAGACATGAGTGACGGGAGAAACAGGGGAGACAGGGGAGACATGAGAGACATGAGAGACAGAAGAAACGGGAGAGACAGAAGAAACGGGAGGGACGGGAGAGACAAGAGAGACAGGAGAGGCAGGAGAGACGGAGAGACAAGAGAGACAGGAGAGGCAGGAGAAACAGGAGAGATGGAGAGACAGGAGAGACGGAGAGAGACGATGAGGAAACACACATCTTGTTAGGCTCTTCAGGTCTATCCAGGAACTAGTGGGAGTGGGTGTTCAGACTGAAAACATGGAAGGGTCTGCGTCTGCGTGGGAGACGGTTTGTTGACTCATGAAATATGATCTGTTAAGTCGAGCAGGAGTAAAAAACTGTAGATCTACAAGCAGCACGAGGCCAGAGAGTGGGCAGAGGGACGGTGAGAGCCGCATCCAAGAAGTTCCTCCAAAAATGTTTCCATTACAACAATATTTTGACAACACATCACCATGCCAACTGCTGTAAGATAGACTAGCATAGCGCCATAGCTTTTTATCATCTATGTGTGCTCCTATATATTTATATAGACCAACAACAAGCTTCTCCTGTTTTTGATGTCACCAGCACTTCTGAAAACTTATATTTTCAATTTGAAGAGCTTGGAAGGGCTGCAAAAAAGTGTAGCAATTGAAAAAAAGATGATGGTATTAAGAAAACATCAATATGTGGACACAGGCCTTAAAGGTCACCTATCATGCTATTGCTATCTTTAGGCAAATAGGTCTCAGATATATAACAATATATAAAAAACATGTCAATGAAGTGTTTTGCTCAAAATACCAAACAGATCATTCTAGCCATGCCTCATATCCCTCTATTTCACTTCCTGTTTCAAAAGTGCTGATTTTGGGTATAAAGCTTTAAAAAAAGCAGGGGGCTGAGCTCATGCCGGACCCGGCAGCTACTGTCTAAACTAAATGCTGCCGTGATGAAACGCCATATCATGGATTATCAAGGATTCTCTCTGAAACTGTTTGGAGCTCAAAGGCTTTCTCTCTTGCCGGTTATACCACAAGGTGAGTACCTTTTTATTTCCTGCTTCTTTAGACACATGCTCTCCAGTACAGGTTAGCTCTGAGTGTTAGCGATGCTAATGTAAACACCGACCATATTACGTCCAAAACAGTCGGGCATTGTTTCTGATGGCAACTTTCTGATTGGGCCGTGGGTCCACATTTCAGATATTCATATCGGATGCAAATCTGGATCAGCTCCGTTGTACCCTCATTTTTAGAGACTTTGGGTACGGAGGAAAAGAGAGGGTTTTATTTTCTGACATCAAAAAGTGCATTTTGCAAAATAGGTCCCCTTTAATAGGATACTACAGTCACTACACCCCGTAAAGTATTAAATACGCTGTCAAACTGGCTAGAGTAGGGGTGTCAAACTCAAACTCATCCGGCCTGTGACTTCATTTCATGCGGCCCCACAAGAGCTGGCAAAGAATATAATATGTTTATTATACGGTTACATGCAGCTTTACAGAAGCACGTTGCCCATAAACTACATGTCCCACAATGCATCTTAAATTTGCCTTTTTCTCAGAATGTCACTTCTTTTTTCCAATTTTGACTTTTTTTCTTCAGAATTTTGGATTTTCTTTTAAAATAATTTTGTGACATTCTCCCTGAAGAGACTTTAAATGATTGGCCCTAGACTTCTGCTTTCAGACGTAGTTAATTATTAAGTTATTACCCTATCCCATAATAATCCAATGCAGAGGCATTAATGTAATATAATACATTATTTTATATATATTAAACATTTATATATGTATTTGTATATAGTCTTAAAGTTACAACCGGCCCTTTGAGTGCAACCTTAATGCTGATGTGGCCCGTGGTGAGATTGAGTTTGACACCCCTGGTCTAGAGTCACATAAATGAGAACTTGTTTACTGACCCTCTGCTCCTCCCGGCCCCTCTTTAGGGTGCAGGCTGAGCTCTGAAGCGACGTCAGCGCCTCTCAGCTCCTTCTCCATCTCCTCCGGACTCCTCCTCTTCATCACCAGAGAGCTGCTGCTCTCCAGGACAGGAGACAGGGACTTCCTGACTGCATACCAAACAAAGAGAGATAAAGATTTAATCATCTCAGTTTAAGCCACAACGGTTAGCCGATCAACAGAAAAAGGATTGCCAACTATTTATACATTTGAATCATTATGATAAGTACTTGTTCCTGTTAAAATATCAGGACATGCTTTTTATAGCCTCTGTATTATTTTAAGTGCATGGAGTGAGGATTTGCACCTAGATTAGAATTGGAGGATGAAACCCTCTTTGATTGTCCCAAACATGCACAAAGCACACAGTGACATGTGACTAGTGTTAATTTCGTTGACTAAAACTATGACGAAATATGTTCGTCAACGACCTTTTTTTCCATGACGAAAACGAGACGATGACGAGACGGCACCGACGGCAGTAAACAATAACTGTAACAAAATCATCATGCAATAGTTGACGAAAAGTGACGAGACGAAAATGTAGTTTACTAAATAAAAACTATGCCAAAATCTCTCTTTACTTTCGTTGACAAAAAATGAGGAGACGAAATATTATCAAAGATAACGTTACATTTCTGATAGTCAGTTTTTCTCCCAGCAGTTCCATTTCCGGTGCTGCGCTGGGCAGCAGCTGTGTGTCTGTGCTGCGCGCGGCGGTAGATTTGAATTACACCGGGCAGCGGCACAATATGAACTGTCAGGAAGACTCGGGTCTAACTCATGGTCTAACTAACTTTATTCAACAGAAAATAAAATGGCAACAACAGGGCTTGGGAGCAGTGGTCGCACTCGAGTTAACCGAATACCCCCCGTCAGCGCGAGTGAGTGATAAATTGTGCACTCGACGGATAATAATGGATTATGACGGAAATGTTACGATCCTGTCCGTCAAAATGACTGACAACGAAAAAGTCTAAAGCCACCACTGCTTGGGAGAAAGAAACGATGTGATATTTGGGCCCATTTTCGCTACAATGAGGCGGAGAAAAAAAGCGAATGCATTGTTTTATCAGAAGGGAAGCAATGTGGCCAAAACACAGCTGGTAAAAACACCACAAACCTGACCAGATACTCTCTGCAAAGCTGCATTCTTAATCATTCTTTTTCATCAAATAAGGACAAGATATAATCATATTGTGAAATAAGTTTGACTAAAATGACAAATGATTGGTTTTGGCTAGACTAGTTTGACTGAAATGTTCTATATAATCTGATGACTAAAAAAGACTCAACAGTTTTTATTGACAAAAAGTAGACTAAAATAATTAGTTTTCTTTGACTAAAATGCTCAGACTTTTAGTCGACTAAAACTTGACTAAATAAAAACAGGATGAAGGTGACTAAATATGACTAAAACTAAAAAGGACATTTAACACAGGACTAAGACTAAAACTAAATAAAAAAATAGCTGACGAAATTATGTGACCTCTGCAATTAACAGGTGACCTCTGCAATTAACCCATCCTACTACTAGGAGCATGTATGTGAGCAACTGGAAGTAAATGTCTGTTTGTGTGGAGGAACTCAAACTAATATTTTTAAGGTTATATCTTGTACACATCCTTGACACTGGCTAGTACTCTCAGCCCTGTATCTCCAGCAGCCTGACAGAGTGACAGCGCTCCTCACCGGGACGTCCCGACCTGGCCCTCGCGGCCCTCCCAAGCAGGTCCGACTCTCCGGGCTTACGACAGGCGGTCAGCTCTGAGTCAGAGTGCTGCGAGGGGCCCTCCTCCACACCTCCTCCGCCCGGCCTGGGCTCTGCGGCCCCCCGAGCCTCCAGCACCTGACTCTTCACGTCAGACATTTTGCTGCGGACCTCGGCCATCTGAGCCTTCAGGCGGATCAGGACCCCCGAGTCTGGAGCCGAGCGCCGCACCGCCTGAGGACGCCGCTCTCGATCCTTCCTGGAGTGAGAATGAGCTGAAAGAGGGAGAAAAAACAGGTGCAAACATTTAGAGGAGCTGAAGGAAAATAACTCACCGTTAGAAATTGCTTTATCTTTTTCTTCTCAGTTAAGACAGTCAAAAACACGAGGCAAAATACATCAAATTTCATAAAATCCTGAATGACTCCCCACTGACATTCTACCGAAAACATAAGCATATGTGACCCGCTCTATCGAAATCAGTCGGAAGTCGCAGCGGCTCATTTCAAAATGAACGTGGATTTGCGTAAAAGAATAGTTTTTCAGGGTTCGGTGTCTGGTTTGATTTTAAATAAACAAAGTCTTGGCTTTCAGAATATGTAACTTTTATTTCCAAAATCTCACGATAAATACATGTTTGAAGCTTGTAAAGGGAAGATGACGGCTCTCACTCGCACACGGCTGTTCCGCAGCGCCGCTCCCCCCCCCCCTCCCGCTGACATTAAGAATGTAAGGCGTATAGTAATCACAGATAACACGGCAGGGTCCGTTACAGTTTGTTTTCTTGTCTTGTCTTTCAGAATATTAAACTTGTTTCAGCAAATTCAGATGATAAATACAACTTTGAGTGTTTTCCCCGGGAAACAAACACAATACACACAAATGCAAAAATACACAAACACACACGTAGCCTATTACACACACACACTCGCCAGCTTCCCCCAGACCAGTAATGCAAACAAAAATATCTTCCTTCCGTAGTACTTTGATCATTTGCTAGCCGCTGATAACCAATCAGATCGATGGATTCCAGAGAAGAGGAAACTTTGAAGGCCTTTTTCTCCAAATGATGACTCGGTGACAGTCATTATATAATGTGACATATTTAGCTTAATATTTGGAGTACAACAACAATCCTGATATTAGAAAGCTAGGAATCTCCTCGTTCCAACAGTGTATACAACTCAAAATGTGTCTTCGGGTCAATGTGACTGATTTCGATGGAGCAGGTCACTTATACAGAGTTAGTCTGGTAGATAAAAAGCCAGTATTTCCTCATCTAAATCAAAACTGTATGATTTGTGATTTTCTGTTATATAAATTAGGTTGACTTGAATCCTAACCACCAACATTTGTAAATGTGTTGTTTATATATATATATATATATATATATATTAGGGCTGTCAGTCGATTAAAATAGTTAATCGCGATTAAATCGCAAATTAATCGCACATTTTTTATCTGTTCTAAATGTACCTTAGAGGAATATTTTTCAAGTTTTTAATACTCTTATCAACATATGAGTGGACAAATATGCTTTATGCAAATGTTTATTATCATTTGAACAATGACAAATATTCTCATGAATATTAAACACAACAACCTCTGAACATTACAAATATTCGCCTCAATTCAACCTGGAACCTCTCTCATTCAATACAAAGAGTGTGTGTGTGTGCGCGCGCGCGTGCGTGCGTGTGTGTGTGATCGTTGGAGCTATGTGCAACTCAAGGCATATGCTCGAACGGGAGCTGCCTGGACGCTGCAATCATGTTGCGCGCACTATCCGTGCTGACTTTTCGTACAATGTCCCACTGTCTGGCTGCCTGCATAAAGTCAAGTGCTCGGCGCAGTTGTCGGCGAAATGTCGCTCCTCTGTTTTCATTTAAACAGCTCCTTATATCCGTTAGCGCAGCTAGCTAGCACCAGATGCTAACAACAAAAACAATACACGTAAGGTCTCTCTCTCGCGCCTCACATACACACACCCTCCCGGTCCTCCCGATGGCCAGTCGGTGCCTGCCGGTGAGCGTGGAAGTGTGGTCTGCCGCAAGCGGACGGCAGGAGCGGGGCTGTCAGCATCAGCTTGTAGATGGTATTTTAAACTCGATGCGCTCTGAAACTACGGGGCGGCCGAGGACAAAAAAATACACATGCGTTAATCGCGTTAAAATAATTAGTGGCGTTATTAACCGCGTTATTAACCGCGTTATTAACCGCGTTATTAACCGCGTTATTAACCGCGTTATTACCGCGTTATTACCCGCGTTATTAACCGCGTTATTAACCGCGTTATTAACGCGTTATTAACCGCGTTATTACCGCGTTATTAACGCGTTATTAACCGCGTTATTAACGCGTTATTAACCGCGTTATTACCGCGTTATTAACGCGTTATTAACCGCGTTATTACCGCGTTATTAACGCGTTATTAACCGCGTTATTACCGCGTTATTAACGCGTTATTACCGCGTTATTAACGCGTTATTAACCGCGTTATTACCGCGTTATTAACGCGTTATTAACCGCGTTATTAACCGCGTTATTACCGCGTTATTAACCGCGTTGTTAACGCGGTTAATAACGCGTTATTAACGCGTTAACTTGACAGCCCTAATATATATATAGTTTTATTCAGATAGATTCATTGTGGATTTTGTAGGAATGACACCTCAAAACTACTTGTTTTTATTCGAATAATCAGTCTTTGTAGCAGCTTGAGTTTCGGGGAGCGGTATTTAATGCCATGCTGCTCATTAGTTCCTTCTAAACAGGGCATGAAACACCCCCGACACTAACAATAGCACACAGCTACCACTTAAAAAGAGACGGTGACAATTACCAGAAAACTATGACTTGGAGTAGAGTGAAGAAAGCAATGTTTATGTGTCCATTTAAAAGGCAACCTAACGCTGCTGTGGAACTGTGATCATCCCATAAGGCATGCTGTTGTTTTGAAAGGCACCCTGTGTGTGAGCATTGATCTTCAGTTTAGTTGTAATGATTTGTTGTGGTCTGTGAGCCGAGTGTTTCCAGACCTTGGCTGTGCAGCAGAGAGACAGGCGGTCGGGGCTGGAGGCCCCACAGAGCCTCAACGCTGCTGCGCTCCTTCAGGTCCAGCAGCTGGATCAGGATGACCGGGTCGATCTCCAGCAGGCTGTTACTGCCCGACCCCCCGGCAACCACTGCACCGCGACTGGCAGCCGCACCACGATGTGAGGAGCGCACACCGGAGCTGGAGCCACCTGCAGAAGAGAGATAACAGAGGGGATGCAGAGTTCATATTACGTGTTCTCCTGTATGGTTTGGGTTAGTTATAATCCAATGTAAAATATGTCTTTCTTATAAAAGATGGTGGAGGTGCTCTTCAATACCAAACGCTGACTGATCAAAAGAAACAAATGGAGCTTCCCTTTTTTCATTCCATTTATTGTCTAATTCAAATTTAATGACAAACATATGATTTAATGATTGAACTTTTTGTTACGTACCTACGCCTATATTCTTAAATATGGAATTTAATTGATGGCATATATTTGGATTACATTGTAGTGCACTCCTCTGTCTAGATGTACAGATTAATTTAAGTTTCTGTTCCAACAACTTCTCCATCTACGCTACTTTTACTTATATTGCTAATCGTGTAACTTAAGTTAATTCAGCAGTACACATAATAGCCTCAGTTGACCTTTCATTAATAAAAAATAAACCTGTTGTTTTAGCACACACCTGCCTTTTAATAGTCAGTCAGAAACAATTTTGTCTGATTTGCCAATTTCAGTTTAATCTCAGCAAATGTTTTCCAGAAAAATAACATTTGTATAAAATTAGAACATTTAGACTGGCTTAATAAAAACTAAAGTGTTTAGTTTTAAAGCAAGACTTATCGTAAAGGTAATAACCCACTTGGAATTAACTAAAGTATGTATTTTCCTTCTTAAAAAAAAAAAATATCACGACAACCTGCAACCTGACGAAACACACACACGGCTCGCTGCAGAGTACTCTGACTCATCCTCTTCATGCCTTTCAACACCGACACAGTGAAACACACTGAGCACGACAGCGCTCACGGTGTTCTGCTTGTACAGCTGGCAGACAACAGAAATAGACTATTATTTGCTATATCAACTGAAGAGATAGCGTGAGGGTTTTATTTGAGGCAGGAGATTAAATATTTGATGGTTTCAGCTTCACAAATGTCACCTTCGGCTCTGGGAAAACTGTGAAGATCATTTTGTTATCGTTACTATTTTCTGATTTGAAATAACTAATCATTCATTGAGAAAATAATTGCTATGTTAAAAGTGGGGTGGGTAATTCACTTCAGAAACACTTGTTATATTCCATGGAATGCTCTTAACATCCCGATAGCAATGAATACATGAAATGCTTTGACAATAAATACATAACAAAATGTCATCTGTGGAAGGCGTGGCGCTGTAAAAAGCACGACCAATCATCTGAGCCGGCCCGGCTAAAATAACTGGATGGCCTACCTGCCTGTCAGCCTTCCATCTGTGGACAGACTTATCTCGTGCCCTCATTGGTCATGTGCGCGTTCCTGTGTGTTGGAGGAGGGGCTCTGTCTGAAGGAAGGGGCAGATTTGTTTTGGCTGCGTACTTTCAAATTCTAGCGCACTCGGGCTGGTTTCTCCATTCTTACCTACCCTACCTTTAAGTAAATGTATCTTTAATTAAAGGTCCCATGTCATGGCCATTTCTACTGATCATCATTTCATTGTTGAGGTCTACTAAAATAGATTTATACCGTGCAATTTTCCAAACTCACATTGGTTTCTCATACAGCATCTCTGTATAGTATGTGTATTCACTCTCTGTCCTAAACGGCTTATTGGAGCTCCTGCCCCCCCCTCCCTGTGAGCCCAGTGTGCTCTGATTGGTCGTGAAGCTGAGAGGCTCGCTCAGCCATCAGATTGACACTACACAATAAAAACAATGAATATATGAATATGGGTGTATGCATTTGACCTGTTGCTCCAGCCAAGTCATCAGGAAGCTCTCCTTCTTCTGTCTCCAGATTCCCAATGAAGTCGACATCATTCTCTCCAGACCTGTGCAAACACACCAACAAATAGTTAATTATTAAGTAAGCATGCAAATGGTTCACGTTAACAAAGGAAGGTAACAAAGGAACACGATTCCTTACTTTGTTAGACAAGGACATTGTAAAAAAGGAGTCTAAATAATTTGAGTTTCTTTAGAGAAAGTGACAGAATCTCCTCACATGGTTTCCTCGTCGATGTCGTTCTCCTCGGTGTTGCTGGTTGCCGTGGAGCTGCCCGAGGTGCTGCTGCCGTCCAGCGGGTTCACCTCCTCCTCCGTCAGACAGTCCACCTCCAGGTCCCCGTCTGACAGCTCCTGGACAACAACAACAACAACAATAAAACAGTGAAGTAACGATCAAACAACGCTCGGGTTGATTCTCTTACAGAAGACCATTAAAAAGGTCCCAGGTTGGGATGGGTGTAACAATTGTAAATATGCAGTGGTGTTTAGTGTTAAATATTTATTTGTAAATCATTTAGTATAATCACACAAATGCTGTGTTTTGTATTTAATCATTCTGTGTTCTTAATTTAAAGGGGACCTATCAATGCACTTTTTTATGTCTTTTATACATAAATATGTGTCCCCGGTGTGTCGGGGAACTCACGCAGCGTCAGAAAATAAAACCCTCTCTCTTTTCCTCCGTACCCAAATCTCTAAAAACGGGGCTACAACGGAGCTGATCCAGATTTGCATCCGATATGACGTAATATCGGAAATGTAGGCTGGCTTTACACCCACGGCCCTATCAGAAACGTTGCCATCAGAAACAATGCCCGACTGTTTTGGACGTAATATGGTCGGTGTTTACATTAGCATCGCTAACACTCAGAGCTAACCTGTACTGGAGAGCATGAGTGTGAAGAAGCAGGAAATAAAAAGGAACTCACCTTGTGGTATAACCGGCAAGAGAGAAAGCCTTTGAGCTCCAAACTGTTTCAGAGAGAATCCTTGATAATCCATGATATGGCGTTTCATCACGGCAGTATTTAGTTTAGACAGTAGCTGCCGGGTCCCGCATGAGCTCAGACCCCTGCTTTTTTTTAAAGCTTTATACCCCAAATCAGCACTTTAGAAACAGGAAGTGAAATAGAGGGATATGAGGCATGGCTAGAATGGGTGATCTGTTTGGTATTTTGAGCAAAACACTTCATTTTATATATTTTTATATATCTGAGATCTATGCTATTGCCTAAAAATAGCATGATAGGTGACCTTTAATAAACATTCAATACCTGACTAGGTCTGAAATCAGTGGGCGGAACCTCCAAAATGTAGACACTGTACTCAGAAGAATATTTTTGTGTGGACTTCCCCCCCCCCCCCCCCCTTCATATTATGTCCCTCACGTTTCCCTCTTCCCTTTTTGTGAATGTGTTCTACATGAGAAGAGTCGGTGTAAGGGAAAACTAATATAATAACTACTGATTCGTTATATATCTGAGTGAATAAACGGAGATCGGCTCAACAGTATGCTGGCTCGGGTCTCATCCTTCAACGAAAGATACACAACGCAGACACCGCTAATGGACACAGGCTACATGGGGACGCGCCACATGTAGCCGGATGTTCATCCCATTCCTTACATTAGAGTCATCGTGCTGAGTTCTCTCTTCTTCTTCAACTTTTTTAGCGTTGGTCAAAGTGGTCTGGATGTCGTCGTCGCTCTTCACGGAGCGAAGGTCTCTCTCAGAGGTGGTGGGGCCTGAGGCGAGCCTCATTTCGGGGGGAGAGGAGCTACGGGACGTCTGACGCCGAAACAGCTCAATGGCCAACCTCTGAAACCAGAAATTAAACAAATAGAATTTAAAAACGTACACACTTGGACAACATGATTTCGTAAAAACTGATTTTCTCACCCAGTAAATATTAAATACAAAATAAATGAATATGACTGTGGCATGAATCCCAAAATAAATAAAGGCAATAAATAAATATATTGTAAATGAGTCAATTTAGTTTTATTAAAAAAGAAAAATTGATAATTTTAGATATTTTCTGAGGCTGCGATTTCATTTAAGGATGTGGAATTTTTATTTTACAATTCCACCTAGTGCTAAAAACGACATTGACAAGATCAGCGGTTTTCAAAGTGTGAGGCGCGCCTCCCCGAGGGGGCGCCAGAGAGCTTCAGGGGAGGGGCTGAGAAAAAGCGTGAGAATTTTTTTTTTACGAGAAACAGTGAAATCTAGCTAATTAACTTCAGCTAACTTTATGCGAGCGGCAACATGGGTCGATTTTTAGTGAAGTTACCTTAAGTGAAAGAGGAGACCGCGTCTGGCAGAAAACGTGCACTTGCACACTTTTGGCTGTCTGTGGAGAGCGAGTTCCCCCACCTCGCCAAAAAGGCTGTAAAAGTGCTCATTCCCTTCACCTCCACCTACCTGTGTGAGTGCGGGTTTTCCGCATTGACTTTGATCAAAAGCAAGTGCCGGTGAAGGCTGCAGCCAGAGGATGATCTATTCCTGTCTACATTGCATCCCCGCATCATCCGCCTGTGTGCATCAAAGACGCAGACTCATTGTTCCCACTAAAGTAGGGGTGAGTGTAATAAGGAGGCAAAGTTGACGTTCAGTGTGTTGCCGGGAGCATATAAGGATTTATCCACGATGTTGAAAACGTTTAACACATAAAAGATCATTTAAAAAGTTGTTATTGTTTTAAGGAGGTAACGCTACTCAGCCAATCAAATCGGTGCAGTCAGTGAGTCAGCACGATAGATTCAAACACACACAGAGACGAGACAAGAAGAGAGAAACAGCAGTGAGTAACTTAAAATGGCGTGCTCCAAAAAGAGAAAGGAAGACAGCGAAAACAGAGCATTTAATTACATTTTCTCTAGCAATAATAATTGGGAGGGGGGGGCGCGGCTGTTCTTATATTCTCTGAGGGGAGGCTCACCTTCCCACACTTTGAAAACCCCTGGACTAGATGGATAGAATAGCTAGATAGATTTACTGTACATGTAGTTGGATATTCATTGCCTCGTTTATGCATTTCAGGATTATTTGATAGCCATATTTATTTATTTCCCAGGCATATTTAAAACTTTTTTTTATACTGAATTGGATGGCATTCTTTGACATTGAAAGAAATAATAATAAATAAAACACACACACCTCTTTGAGGTTGTTGGTCTGCTGGATGTATCCGCTCTGAGCAGACTCCAGCTGGCTGATGTACCAGTACTGATCTCTGCACTTCTGGAAGAAAGTTGGAGAGCGGACCTGGTATCTGTGAAACACACATGAAAACACGCTATGAGCTTTTCCTGTTCATTTCTTTAGTATCAGAGTGGTGCAGGTCAGCACAGGGGTGTGTGTGTGTGTGTGTGTGTGTGTGTGTGTGTGTCTGTGTGTGTGTGTGTGTGTGTGTGTGTGCGTGTGTGTGTGTGTGTGTGTGTGTGTTGTGAGTGTGTGTGTTGTGAGTGTGTTGCGAGTGTGAGTGTGATAGTGAGTGTGTAGTGAGTGCGAGTGTGTAGTGAGTGCGAGTGTGTAGTGAGTGCGAGTGTGTAGTGAGTGCGAGTGTGAGTGTGAGTGCGAGTGTGAGTGTGAGTGCGAGTGTGTAGTGAGTGCGAGTGTGTAGTGAGTGCGAGTGTGTAGTGAGTGCGAGTGTGTAGTGAGTGCGAGTGTGTAGTGAGTGCGAGTGTGTAGTGAGTGCGAGTGTGTAGTGAGTGAGAGTGTGTAGTGAGTGTGAGTGTGTAGTGAGTGCGAGTGTGTAGTGAGTGCGAGTGTGTAGTGAGTGCGAGTGTGTAGTGAGTGCGAGTGTGTAGTGAGTGCGAGTGTGTTGTGAGTGCGAGTGTGTAGTGAGTGCGAGTGTGTAGTGAGTGCGAGTGTGTAGTGAGTGCGAGTGTGTAGTGAGTGCGAGTGTGTAGTGAGTGTGAGTGTGGTGCGAGTGTAGTGCGAGTGCGTGTGCGTGCGAGTGTGTTGTGAGTGCGAGTGTGGTGCGAGTGTAGTGCGAGTGCGCGTGTGTGTGTGTGTGTGTGTGTGTGTGTGTGTGTGAGTGTGTGTTGTGAGCGTGAGTGTTGTGTGTGTGTGAGTGTGTTGCGAGTGTGATAGTGAGTGTGTTGTGAGTGCGAGTGTGTGTGTGATAGTGAGTGTGTTGCGAGTGTGAGTGTGATAGTGAGTGTGTTGCGAGTGCGAGTGTGTGTGAACCCACCGGAGGACCAGCGTGTCCGTCTGCATGTTCAGGTATCCCTCGCTGGCCAGAAGGTCCAGTCTGAAGAAGCGGTTGTAGCCCCAGCATTCACCGACCTCAAAGTCAGAGGCAAACTCTCGAATGATGTTCTTGGTGGGGTCACTGGAGGCCTGATGCACCATCTCCACACGGTACTCATATCTACACAGGACCGGAAAGAAAACTATACTGAGAGGAAGTATACAAAGCGAGGTGGCTGATCCATTTCACACCATTATGGAGTTATGAGAAATCAAAATAACAGTATACGTTTCAGCTCTCTTAATGCTAATTAACATATTAGTGTGTGTGTGTGTGTACATGGTAGAAAAAAGGTATATCTCTTGTTACTAATTTGTTTAACATGTTTTTAGCTTTTTTTCATCGATTTGTAACATAATATTGAAACATATGTTAACCTGCATTCATTCATCTCGTCGTGACCATAACCGACGAGACCTTTTTGTGCTTGCACGCCGATGTCATTTTTACATTTGCATCTAAAAAAAAGTAATGACATTATGTTGACAAAGCTATACCTTTAAAAAGCCACATTTTAATTAATTTAAACCTCAGACCTTACTGAGAAGAACACTATTAAGTTTGTAAAGAAAGATTTAAAAAGGAGGTGTATTAGGAAATATGTCATACTTTGATGTTTCAGGGAGTCCAGCCGACAGTTCCAGGAACACAGAGAGGTAGTTTCCACGGACCACACCGTTACCATCCTGAAGGAAAAAAAGAAGTTACAACACATGTATTTATTTTACAGAGTAGTCAGGCTTTAGTGGAAAAGGAGGAACACTCACGGGGTAGACTTTAAGCCTCCAGCAGAGCCCAGAGATCTGCAGCGGAGGACTGTAGACCGGGTCGGCTCGCTGCCTCAACGTGCTACGAACACAACAAACACATGAAGAAAGTGTTGTGGACACCAAGTGCAAACATTCTTTATCAAAAGGTGTTGATCTGTGGAATACCTGTAATGATGAGCTGAAAGATTGTGCAAGTTTATCTAAACTAAAATGTAGAAACCAAACCCTGAGCAGGAGCTGTGAAGTGGTGCTTGTTATTTCTTGTTGTTGTAAAAGTTATTTATTTTTGGTTGTTTTGTACAAAAAAAAGTATTTGTGTAAAACAATGAATCCAATCTCACGGATGCTGATGACCTAATGTTTTATTTTCAAGATAAATGTACGCTAGAGGGGGACCAGAAACGTTTTTAAGCTTCTTTTTGCCCCTTTTGAACATGACAGACTATGTGAGAATGTTTTTTTGTTTGTTTTTTTGTACCTTGAACGTTCTTTATAACCATTATTATTATTGTTGGTTTTGTTTCTGACATGTTCAAGGGAGGCTGTGGCGTAGTGGACAGGTTCAAACCCCACTGCAGTCAGCATGTCGTTGTGTCCCTGAGACACTTCACCCCAAAATTGCTCCTGTGGGGATTGCCCACAGTATTGAGTATGTAAGTCGCTTTGGATTTAAAGCGTCTAACAAGTGACATGTAATGCAATGTTCAATAAATGAACTAATACAACTTTTATATTTTACACCAGGTGCCTACAGGTTTGAATTTTCAGGTGGATAAAAGATCTTGAAAACAGCGGTGGGTGGAACAGCTTCAAAGCACTCTTAATCTTCTTTATAAACAACCACTGAACCCCACACACACTTCCTCTCTCTCAGGCTGCAGCCACACGAGGACGATAACGGTCGTATCTGCTACAGTTCTCTATCAGATAGACGGTCCGGCCACAGGTCGAACCGTCTAGAGGTCCTGCACTAGTAGATAGTACCAGGATCTGACCCCGTTACACAGAAAAGCAATTATAGAGATGAGACAGAGGAAGGAAGGCGATCCACATTACAGTCCTAAATTGGGTGGGGGGGGCAGACAGATGGGGAAGCGCAGCATGTTTATTACAACCCCTAACATCCATATTATAATTGCCTGACAATGGTCGGGGCGACACCCTTCTGTCCGACAACATTTTGTAGAAACCTACATATATATTGAATCACTGTAAATTCCCATCATAGCAATCTAGGAAATCTATCCAAAACCCCTCTTCAAGATTCAAAGGTTTTATTGTTATATGCAGATAAGCTACAATGTATGAGCTCCTCCAACAATGCAACATATATAATTAAATACAAAGATAAAATAGTGCAAGAAGTCTATATACATGTAAATAGAATATGAAATGTAATGTGTGGGAAGGTCGAAACAAACCTTGAACTTTCAAACTGCCACACGGTGCAGGACAGATGTTGCTGAACAGAATAACCTTAAAAATATATCTTTCAAGTCAAACATTTGTAACTTAATGTAAAGATTTAAATATTGGAGGAGCTATGTGTATCTGTGACTGCAACCCTTGCATTATTTAGTAAGAAACACAGAGCTGTCTCACTGTAAATAGCACGGAGCTCTGTTTTATTGTCCCCTGTAGCAGCGATGACTGAACGCGACCAAAGAGAGGAAGTACCTGAAGTTGACCAGAACAAAAGTGCTGGAGTCGTAGGCAGGAACCAGCTCACTGGAAGCACAGAGAGGACGGTTTATTACACAAAGATAATCAAATATAATATAATCTAACTTGTTAATCATAAAACTATTATACAACATATGTCTGACAGTTCTTCCTAGACCAAGGAATGATGGCTGAGCTCTATGGGGAGGTGTTGATGATTTAATGTATTATTTTGTTCATTTCTTGTTTCCTGTGCATGTATGTATGGGGCATTTATTTATGTGTACATGTATATATATATTCATTGTTTATTCTTTGTTTCATCATGTTTGTAAACCATGTCTGCGCTGTGCTGCATTGTTGGAAGAGGGGGAGGGGTTAAACATGTAACATATACTTTGCACAATTTATAATAAAGATATGTTTACAAATATACACACATTATATACGAAATGCTCAACATTATCAATTGTACAGCCTTTTAAATGTGATTTTGCTGCCTGTGTTATATATACACATTAATAAATAACATTGCAAGTTTAATCGGTGACAATCATGTTTGATAGGGCTTGCCATTTTATATTGTAAAATATGTCCTTCGTCCACCGCCCCCCCCCCCCGGTGGACAGGTTACCTGGTGAAGTCTGGAGGGACGGGCGTGGTGACGAAGGACTGCATGGGCTTCCTGTGGACCTGCTGGAACATGAGCAGGATCTCCGGGCTCTTTGAGATCAGCTCACTCTTACTGCACGAGTGAAGCTGTTTAACAAAAGCAAAACCAACTCAACATGTTGCTGGTACAACAACAAACAAGAAAGAAACAGTTGGAATCAAAACTTGGGTTTCTGTCGAGGATAATTGTGTTTTCGCTTACTGTAGCGTCTATATATGCAATGAAGGACTCAATGCAACTTAAAGGTCACCAATCATGCTATTTTTAGGCAATTTCAAGGTCTCAAATATATACAATATATAAAAAACATGTCTATGAAGTGTTTTGCTCAAAATACCAAACAGATCACCCATTCTAGCCGTGCCTCATATCCCTCTATTTCACTTCCTGTTTCTAAAGTGCTGATTGTATGTATAAAGCTTTAAAAAAACAAAATAATTGATATAAAAAAGCAGGGGTCTGAGCTCATGCGGGACCCGGCAGCTACTGTCTAAACTAAATGCTGCCGTGATGAAACGCCATATCATGGATTATCAAGGATTCTCTCTGAAACAGTCTGGAGCTCAAAGGCTTTCTCTCTTGCCGGTTATACCACAAGGTGAGTTCCTTTTTACTTCCTGCTTCTTCACACACATGCTCTCCAGTACAGGTTAGCTCTGAGTGTTAGCGATGCTAATGTAAACACCGACCATATTACGTCCAAAACAGTCGGGCATTGTTTCTGATGGCAACTTTTCTGATAGTGGCAAGGGTCCGCATTTCAGATATTACGTCATATCGGACGCAAATCTGGATCAGCTCCGTTGTTCCCCCGTTTTTAGAGATTTGGGTACGGAGGAAAAGAGAGAGGGTTTTATTTTCTGACGCTGCATGAGTTCCCCGACACACCGGGGACACATATTGATGTATAAAAGACATAAAAAAGTGCACTTTGCATGATAGGTCCCCTTTAACTAATACTTTGTTTACCTGTATTTACTCCAGTACAGAAACAAATATGGTTGTTTATAATGTATTTTGTTGGTAGGCAAAAGTGCTGCAACCTCCATTATGTTCTTGATGAATCATTTGGACTAGAAAATGCTAGAACATTTTAACAAAAATCCCAGCCTCTCTGGTCCCTGTAGTTTTAGGTAATGAATACTCAACAGAATGAATAATGCATTTGTTGGGGAACACTTTTAAATGTGGGTGAATGCACATGTTATGCTTTACTGACTTATAACAGGAGTGGGATGTGTGTATTTTGGAGATTAACTCAAATAAAACTATAGCGTTTATGGCATAACGGGGTAATGAAAGAACACGTCGCTCAATCAATTGATCTACTGTTGTTCATTTTATCTCCAAATATAGAAAAATACTTAATTCACAGCTGGCTAACTATTAAAAAGCTGTGAATCTGAAACAACAACACCATGCAGTGCAGCTGGATGTTTGGCAGCTCTGCGCTGCTGCTTAACACCAACCTGATGCTCCACCTCCTGCAGCAGAGACTCCAGCAGCTCCGTCTCCTGGGTCAAGGACGTCTTCTGGCCTGGGGGGGGGGGGGGGGGGGAGAGACACACATTTCTATTTTCAGCGTGCTGTGCTGAATGTCAGAGTGAGCGGTCGGGTGTGGGCGCTGAGTGCATGCATCCACTCAGTCCAGATAAATATTTCATCTGTGTATTGCCCCGTAGCTATAAAAAGGCGTCTCTTGCGGCTTTTTTCAGCACGGAGGATTTTGTTGAGTGAACGTCTCAACCTTCACACCCTTTGTAGTGCCAGATAAAAAGGTGTCTCGCTTCGACAAGAGCTCTTTTCAGACGAGGAAGATGTAACACCGCTGGCAACATAACGCTGTGAGAGGGAGGGCCTTTTGTGATTCAGACAAAACGTGTCCCTCAAAGCTTGATTAGTGTTAGCTGTTTTTTAGCTTGTAAATGTTTTAGTTTAATATGAACTCTCTCCAATTCTAGATGTGTTATTATTATATATACTTTCTGTTTAGTGTCTGGGTCTCAAATCTAAAGCTTCTGATTGTCTTGTAGGGTGTCTCATTTCACATTTCTCCATTATGTCTTATATTTGTATTTTTAAACTGATTGGGAATACAAATATTTTAAATTAATTGAAGCTCTGGAGTTTTGCCCAATATAAATACCTACCTTTTTATAGGTAACTGCACATAGCATCACAGGTACAGAAACATTTTCAGAATACTATTAAATAGCGATTCAAGATTTTAAAAATAGGAGACGAGATTGGCATTAGATTGATGTTATTAGTGATTTGTCTAAAAGAGGTTAAGGATTCATTTAAAATTAGGGTTATTTCATCTTTTAGGCTTAAAAAAAACATATTTCAATTTAAAAAGCAACCGTGTTTTAGATTTTAAGTATAATTCTGGTTTGATAAAACTCACTGTTAGGATATAAACTATTGAGAATACAAATGTAGCCAGCATAAAGTATTTGTAAATATAGAAATACTTTGAGAAGTGTCACAGACTCCACCCAGCTGCTCTGTGACAGTGACGTGTCCTCCAGTCTTACCCATGAGGGTGATGAGTTTGTTCTTCAGCTGGTTGTCCAGACGGGCGATCATCATCTCCACGGCGTTTCGGATCTCTCTGACCCTCTCGTCCTTCGCTCCCCTGACAGCCTCCACGTTCCTCTCCTGATCACACACACAATAATATTACACGAATCTATCTTGCCTTCTTTTCTAGAGTTGTGTGACAACGTTAGCAAACGTAAACACATCAGAATTAGACAGCCTTTAAATTGTAGCTTTTTAGGGTAAGATACAAAATTCAAGGTAGAGAGTAGGCATATTTAGTCAAAGCAAAGGTAACCAAAATGTTGACAAAGTAAATAAAAGTACATATTTGTTTTAATTTAAGCTTAATGATTTTTACCTACATTTTCACACACACACACCTCAACTGAAGTGACGACATGTTGGTGCCATCTAGTGGATGTCAGCAGTACTCCTATTAAATACATTTTATGATTTTATCCGACCCAAATTGAAATAATGCATTAAGGCCACATTTAAGTAAAGTTTATAAACTGAACTTTTAAATAATTCTGTAAAATGTTTGGTCTAACTCATCTAAATTGGATGCTTATATTATGCAACAAGTAAAACTTACAAGTAACTAGGGTTGCACAATTCTAGTAATTTTCAAAGGTAGAAACTTTCCATGGGAATTAACAGGAATTTAAGGGAATAAACTGGGAATTTTCAAAATGGAAGGTTGGCTCTTCGTAGGGAACTTAAATATAACTGGGGAAAGTATATTTTAGCATAATCTAGACTAAAACAAACAGATGTCATTCAAGTACACTTGAATATCCGTGCCATTCTGTGTTTCCCCTGGGTTTACTGCTTTGGGGGGTTACTGCCGGGGGGGGGGGGGGGGGGGGGGGGGGATATATATATTTTTTAAATCCTCTGGAGCAGAGCGAGGAGCTGTGGATTATTGGTATTGATTAATGCATCAGTGTTTCTTAGGGTCAAAAACACTAAACTCACAACTTAAAATGAAAGCGTTTAGTTTATTTAATAAAAGAGCACATGTTCAATGTGAAAAGTGACCGTAGAAAGATTACTTCAGTTGCAATTTGGTGCTATATTTTTTTTTTAAAACACCTTACATTTCAGGGGGGGGCGTGGGGCTCCGTTGGGGGGGGGGCGCAGCCATCACATGCACAGATGATTTCTTGTGGGGATTTTTGGATGGGGGGTGCATTTCTGTTCATTTTTGAATGAGTGGGGTTGGGGGGGGATGAGTAATATTGTTCAATAAAATAATTAAAACTTGTTCTGTTCAACTTACAAATAAATCTGTTGAAATGACATGTTTTTTTAAGTTGTATCATTTTGCATGGATGTTTTCTTATGACAAAACAAAATGTTTATATTTATGCTTGGATATGATACAACTCGATTACATTACCCTCAACTCCCAGTTAGTTCCCATCAATTCCCATGGAAGGTTTCCAATATGGAATATTTCCAAAATTCCCCAGCTTAACTTCCCATGGAAATGTACCGGAAATGTTCCGCCCCTTTGCAACCCTACAAGTGACACGTTTCGATTGTGATCCAGACCAGGAAGACACCTCACCTAAATGATGATACCTTAATCCAACAGTATTTGGAATATGATACAGTAATACAGTTTAAACCATACCTTTTCTTTTATGGGCTGATCTTTCTCAGCATTGTTCGTCAGTTTAGCAGGAGGTATGGTTTCACTGTCAGTCCTATAATCGGAAGCTTGGTTGCTTTACATTTGTTCCCCTTCCCTATTGAGGCTCATTGTGTTAGCAGATGACAACTTGTCTAGAATATGGCGCTACAGGAAAGCTCATGGTGCACCCAATCTGAAGAACTTTCCCTCAGAGAAGAGTGAATGTCATGGCCACTGTTCTTTAACATTTCTTTTATTAAAGCAGAACTCACCACTTCCTGCACCAGACTGATGAGCTCCATGAGGCGGCGGCGGAGTTTGGCGACCTCGTCCTTCACTTTGGTCACATGCTGCTCGTAGATCTCCACCAAAGGCTTGAAGGTGTGGCCGCCATGCTGGACACAACCAAAACACACATCTGTCTGTAGTTCTACTTGTGAAGTGTAACTAAGATCAACTAATCAACTCATGTAATGATATCTCCTGAGGCATAAGGAGGTTCTTACTTCATTCTGACATTTTGATTATTGAAACAATTTGACCTGCTCCATCGAAATCAGTCGCATTGACCCGAAGACACATTTTGAGTTCGAATACACTGTTGGAAAGAGGAGATTCCAAATATTAAGCAAAATATGTCACATTATATAATGACTGTCACGAGTCATCACTTTGAGAGAAAGGCCTTTAAAGTTTCCTCTTCTCTGGAATCCATCGATCTGATTGGTTATCAGCGGCTAGCAAAGGATCAAAATACTACGGAGGGAAGATATTTTCGCTTGGATTACTGGTCTGCGGGAAGCTCGTGAGTGTGTGTGTGTGTGTGTGTGTGTGTGTGTGTGTGTGTGTGTGTGTGTGTGTGTGTGTGTGTGTGTGTGTGTGTGTGTGTGTGTGTATACGTGTGTGTGTTTGTGCAATTTTGCGTTTGTATGTATTGTGTTTGTTTCCCGGGGAAAACCCTCACGAGAAACACCGGCTGTTGTTATGCCTGCTGTGACGTCAAGTTACTCCGTTCTCCACTTGTAATTATGCCGAAGCTTCAAAGTTGTATTTATCATCTGAATTTGCCGAAACAAGTTTAATATTCTGAAAGCCAAGACTTTGTTTATTTGAAATCAGATGAAAACAAACTGTAACGGACCCTGCCGTGTTATCTGTGATTACTATACGCCTTACATTCATAATGTCAGCCGGAGGGAGGGGGGCGGCGCTGCGGAAGAGCAGAGTGCGAGTGAGAGCCGTCTTCTTCCCTTTACAAGCTTCAAACATGTATTCATCGAGTGATTTTGGAAATAAAAGTTTAATATTCTGAAAGCCAAGACTTTGTTTATTTAAAATCAAACCAAACACCGAAAAACTATTTTTTTACTCAAATCCACGTTTATTTTGAAACGAGTCGTTGTGACTTCCGACTGATTTCGATAGAGCGGGTCACATATATTCCGCATATTCATCAGATAAAATAAATAGAAATTAGTTGCAGTCTGATTTCTATTAAATTGGCAGTATTGTAATTTGGCATGCAAGCTGTAATCTTCAAATAAAAAGATGTGAAACGTTACCATGCCTCCCCACAGAGCACACTGGTGACAGATGCATTTCTTACAGGTCCAACAGAAAACACTCAGCTTCTCATGGTGGTTATCACATCTGCAAAGGAATCATCCAATGACACTTGCTTGTCACACAGAAACTTCAACGTCAACGCTAAAAGATTTGGCCTGTTTCTACAAACATATCAAGCTTTATCAAATGCAGGAGATGGAGATGATGAATATGCTAAAGGAGGGATGGATAACATCTAGAAGTGTGAACTGCACGGTTCAATATCAGGAATTAGGAATTTGGGTATTTCCGGAGAATTTTTGCCACAATTTGCTCCCAATTCCTGTTGAAAATGTATATAAACTAATCTTTAAAATAAATTATCAACAGTTTTTGGTAAGAAATCACAGGACGAGTGTCATAAATGGTAGCGTTACAATTAAAAATCATCTAAATACATTTTGAAATGCTTAAACCGAGTGCCATAGGGGTGGGGAAGGAGACGGGGGTGAGGGGTAGCAGGAGGTGCTCACTTGTCCTTGTCGTTGTCCTCGTGCTTGGTGAGGCTGCACAGCTGCAGGGTGTCCAGCTGCTGGGTCACCTCCTCTGCCCAGCGACAGTTCACCAGCTCCCTCAGCTGGAGCGGAGCCCTGCACATGAACACACACACACATTTTAATACCTTACCACAAACGCCCTTTCCTTCACTACAGTCATTCAAGGTGTGTTTTAGAAATACTCGTCAAATCAAATTCATTGAAATGGCAAGTAAGTATTGGATCTTGAAGATGCAACTGGATGTGATGCCCTTTTTTCTGATGAATTGGGTGTGAAGTTACACACACTCTAAACACTGACGTACAGTAGTGAAGGTTGTGTGTTAGCATGCTCTTACCGACAGTGTGGACACTGGGCTCTCTGCTCCGTCAGCCACCGCTGTCAAACAAGAGATTACAGTTAAATCATCATTTAATCTAAACACAAACAGGATTCTCAAACACACATGGTTCTCCTCAGGATACAGCCGCCTAAACTCCATATTATATTATTAGTAAATCCTGTGAAAAGACCAAAGTATATAATTAGGGATGCACCGAATATTCGGCCACCGAATATTATCGGCCGAAAATGGTTAAAAAGGCCCTTTCGGCTTTTAGCCGAAAGGGTTTTAGCACCGAAAAAATATCACCGAATGTCAGAACAGGCTTACGTTGGTAACCTAACGTGTTGTTGTGATGACGTAATAAAGACGCGGCGACCATGCTCGCGGCTGGCTCACAGGGGGGGGGGGGGGGAACATTGACCTTTGTCATCGAGATTTCCCTGAGCCTTTAACAAATCGTATTAAATAATCTGATGACAGACTGTAAACAGAATAGCTGAAATGTTAACAAACTAAATAACTCAGTTACCTCTAATCATTAACCCATGTTTGTATCATGTAGTTAACTCCGTGTGTTGCTGCTAGCATACATAACACCTGACGTGGAAACGTTACTCGTGATGGGGCTACAGAGCTGCTAGAAAGACGGTCGAACCCGGTACATTCCTCCGTCTGCATGCGGTGCACTTTTGCTAAATGTTTAGACAAATTGCTCGTGCTTACATGCTAAACTCTTATTGCACTTATGGTAACAAGTATTCTCCACATCGAGACGGGTAAAGTTTAACCACACCTCGGAGCGCGTTCTCTCCGCCATCTCCGCAGTGTGCTCCGCTGCATGTAGCAGCTGCGTGTGTGTAAACTGCCCCGCCCCCTCGCACACAGACGGGGAGAGAGATCTCGTCTGATCGAAAATACATCATAGACGCATTTGTTGTCTTTGCATATTAGAAACGAGTTGGCGACACTAAGACTGCGATATAATGTTTTTTAGCAATAATACATGACATATATAAATGTACTGTATGCATTCAAAAGTGCTGAATAAATGTTTTATGGACCCATAATAGTGATTATTATTTAAGTTAAGTTTTGCCATAATCATGTCTATTTCCATAATCAGGTAGCTGAACAACATTGGTAAAAAATGTATACATTATATATATATATTTATATATATATTTCTATTAATCATTTTCGGCCTTTCGGCATTCGGTTTTCGGTTTTCGGCCAACTGTTTCCTATTTTCGGTGTCGGTTTCGGCCAAGAATTTCCCATTCGGTGCACCCCTATATATAATACATCTTATTCCTCTGACGCCAAAGTGCTTCATTGTTATCCAAACATGGATCAATAGCATACTATGAACATGTGTGTAGTGTTTATTTGCTTATCCGGCAATAAATACTTTCTACATCAAATGTATATTTATCAACCACTTCAAATATTCCACATAAAAAGAGAAAATGTATTAAGTTTCAGTAAAGATGTCATTAATTAGGCAATAAGGTCTAATGATCTCGTGACACCAGCAATTTTCTGGAATTGCAAAACTAAGTATTTTGTTCTTTCACACACTGCATACCTTTTCTTTAACACCCAAAATGAAGCTCATATCTTATCTTATTCTAAGAAATGCAGGCATCAGCACATGTGGATAACTAACCAGTCTTTATTTGTAGATTCAGTTCATTACTATTACTAGCAGAATACAAAGCTAGGCAGCGAGGGAGATTGCTTCTCCCTGCCTGGTGGGAACAGACTCACTCGAATGCAGCTGAAGCAGCACAGCTTGGAGCAGTGTGGACAGAGGCGAGCGTCCCTCAGCTTCTCCATGCAGATGAAGCAGCGAAACACCTCCGCGATGCTCTGCACGGGACAGGAGAGAGAGGACTAAAATACAGCACAGAAATCACCACGGGGTTAAATCAACATCACTCAAATACAGTGCAAACAGAAACTGAATGTCATAGATCAAACACAAGGTTAGTAAAAGCACATTTTATGAATTATGTTGGATTATACATTTGTATTTTATAAATTGGGAGTAAAACAGATTTATAAAATAGTTTTGGATGACATCTTGAATGCGCATGACTCTTTTCCAAATCAAGTCGTGTCTAGATTAACGAATGTCTAAACTCAAAACTGCATTGAATTATTTGTAATCTTTAGCATCCATACTGCTATCTTACATACCCTGAACTTTGGTACGATGCCGTTGTGTTTAAACTCTTTCTCTTTGCTGTAAGATTTCAATTATTAGATAATGCTTACAATAATAACACAAAAATAATGTATACTCGATTATTGAACTTATTTGATCTGTTATTGTAGGGGGTTTCTAGCCATTCGCAAATGTAATAACCGGTAGAAATTACTTTTGGAAAAGACCAACAGGATACAATATAAGCATTGCTTACAGTAGATAAAGGTTTTCTACCAAACCTGGTGGTTGAATCTTAATGTTAATTGTTTTTGGGTTAATCTCAAAATAATGACACTATATTACTGTATATACAACACTCTTTATCTGCGATGGCAGCACAAGCTATCTTAGTCATTTGTTGTGATCAAAAGAGGTCAGAGCAGATGGGGCCAACACATTTGATCACATTTGCATAAAATGGCAACACTTTGTTTTCCAAAACAATGTTTGACCTTTGACTTCTCTCTTCCTGATAAAGTACTCTATCAGGCTAAATATTAATGTTAGTTAAGGATTGTGTGTGTGTGCGTGTGCGTGTGCGTGTGCGTGTGTGTGTGTGTGTGTGTGGTGTGTGTGGTGTGTGTGTGTGTGTGTGCGCGTGTGCGTGTGTGTGTGTGTGTGTACAAACCTCAACACTTTGTTCGTCCATTTTGGCCACTTTGAAGTTCTTGATACAACGAATCAATGAGTGAGCAGCTGGTCTAAAAATAAAAAAACATTGTTAAAATAAGCCAAGTCCTAGAAAAGACAACGTAAACTTAACTAATGTGCATTTAAAGAAAAGAGGAATAGTTTAGGCGAAAACTAAAAAAGGTACCATGGGGTCAGATTATAATTTTCCAAAGGGGGGTTCGTTCAGATGTGTGTATCTCACACTGCACTGCAACTGTAATTCATGTATCTATCGTTTTTAAATGCCATTTCATAATATGTTTCTTAATGTCTTTCATTTTTGTAAAGCACTTTGAATTGCCTTGAGTTGAAATGTGCTATATAAATAAACTTGCCTTGCCTTCAATTGTGGTTTAAACATTTTAGGGTTTACACTTAAATGTACATTTTAAATGTTAGTATGTTCTGCTGAACTGCTACATACAGACTGCAATATAGGCCTGGAATACAAATACAAGTCTGAATCATTTAAGTCTTTAGTTTGGGCATAAAGTATTCAACTTGTAAATAATGTATCTACTATCTGAAATCTACAGTTTTGATCTGTTAGACAATATTGAATAAAAGAAGAAACACATAAATATTGCAGGTGATTCCAAATGTTTTCTCGGTAGTGCATATAAAAGTATTTGCTCCGACCTTAAATAGATGCAAATGTAATTTTCTTTATTAAAGTTACAAATTCACAAAACATATCAGAACCGTTAGCTTGAGCCCAACTGACATCCAACAGAAAAGGCCTAGCATCAGCAGACACACTGACAGCTAGCTTATCTTCCCGGAAGCAGTGAAGACATTAGCTTTCTTTGCTCCTATTAACATAAACTAGCGGGGTTGACGTGAATAATGAGAAAACTAAAAATAGTAATAATTAATGTGATGCTAGCTAGCTTGTAGCCATTAGCAAGGTGGCTCACTTACCTTCCCAGACTCGTCTGTCCCACCTGAGAAACGAACAGTTGAACTACATTATCTATCCTAGCACACAGTTGGCGTTGTGTCCGCTGGATTAGCTGCCACAAAACATGTAAATATGTCTAGCTGCGGCCGTGTAAAGGTAGAAGTAACGTTGAAAAAGCCTTTTTTTGGGCTGTAAATTGAAGATGTAGCGGTCGCGCTTGCTGTTAAGCTGTCCCCTAGCAATAACCAATCAACGAGCTCCTACTTCTTCTTCGCTGGATTTTATTTGGTTCTTGTTTGTCAGACTGCTTGAGGGATATTGTCGCCACCTGCTGGACAGGCTTCAGAACTACAGAGGATATTTAGTTTTTATGTTTTTTAGTTGAACAATTTCTCTTGTAAAAGTATTGAGGCCAGGAAAAACAAGAGTAAATAATTAATTATAATACATTAATGTCGTCATTTCATACCAAAATGTCCATTGCATAGTATTGTTCATGACTTGAAGGAGCTCATTATTACATTCCACCACTGGTATCAAAGTTTGGTAATAAAATATTTTGGAAATAGCACGATTATTACTCATTATTATGACCCAGATTGAAGGTAGAAAGTTTCCATTGTTGTGTAATGTATGTAACTATATCCAGCATGGGTTTTACAAGACATCATTCCTTAATGCATACAAGTCAGAATAAAAACAAATTATACAATGTCAAAACACACAGTCCACAAATCAATAAAACAGCTAAAGAATATTTCACATTATCTTCAGTCCATCAATGAGTGTAACAACACTCAGAAATTACTGACAGAAACAACAAAGCTGGTTAAATCTGAATGAATTATAATAAAATAATTATATCTTGCCTTCTTTTCCACCACATTGAAGTTCTAACTAAGAACTGGCTTCCTTTACAGACTTAAACGTTGTTTTTCAACTTCTTCCCGTAAAAGGTTGGTCTCTGGCTTATTCCTGTCCCAGCTGGACTACGGTGATACAATCTATAGATTTGCCTGTCCCACTGTTTTGGCCAAACTTGGCCCACTCTACCATGCTGCACTGCGATATATATCAAATGCAACCTACTCATCAACCTACTCATCATTGCAAACTGTATAGCCTAACTGGATGGTCCTCACTTACTATGTGTAGGATGCAGCATTGGTTTTTATTAATTTATTAATGTATAAAGCAATTTTAGGTAAGCTTCCACTGTATATATGTGCCAGATTTGCCCCAGTTTGTGACTCTTACATCCTCAGATCCAGTGCCTGGATACGGTTCCAGGTTCCTGCTGTGCGGACTGAGGTGGGAAAAAGGAGTATTTTTTATTATGGTCCTTGGTCTTGGAATGACCTTCAATCACGCCTCAAACTGATGGCTCTTGTCCCTGTAGCCTGTTTTAAATTGAAGTTGTCTGAGGTCCTTACCACCAGCTGCTCTTGCAGTAATAAGTAGTGTACCTTTCTTACTGTTCTAATGTGCACAATGTAGTGACTGCTTTTCGTCTTTTGTTTACTCAGTTGTGTTCTCTGTATTTGATATGTCTGTGTTATGTGTCAGAATGTAACGTTGCTGCCTTCTTGGCCAGGTCAGCATTGTAAATGAGATTTGATCTCAATGCTTTTTATCTGGTTAAATAAAGGTTAAATAAAATAAAATTTAAAATTCAAGAGTTGTGTGAGCAAACGTAAAGACATCAGACAGTAAATTTAGCTTTTTAGGGTAAGATCAAAAATGCAAGGTAGAGAGTAGGCCTATGTATTCAAAGCACAGGTAGCCAAAATGTTGACGAAGTAAATAAAAGTACATATTTATTTAATTTAAGCTTAAGATTTAATTATTTTTACCTACATTTTCCCGTCAATAACAATGACTCAAATATCTCTGGAAGTAATAATACTCTTGTTATCCAAAGCACTCTGATGAGGACACACACACACACCCACACACACGCACTGTCATTTGCAGTAACCCCATTGTTGTTTTATGCAAACAGTCTGAAGCTGGATAGGACGCACTGAGGCAAATATGCAAAGGAGCCTATCAGGCAGCAGGGGGTTGTGCTGCAGAGGTGAGCGTTACTCCACTTAGGAAAATGCTGATGAGCAGCTGTGGATTCCCAAAAACTTTTAAACCAACATTTGTTTTGCTTTAAATAATCAGAGAGAACAGACGGCAGCTGGAGCGACAGTAACTGTTTTAATCTGTGTGAGGTGAGGTATTGTCTTCTTACTCATCAATTACTTTTCTTACATCTTCATTGTTTCATGAGTTCTTACACTGTGTGTTTGCTGTGTGGCTAAGATGGGAATATTTGCTTCAATTATGAATATTAAAAGTGTACAGTACGTTTGTGGCGGGGTGGATGGGAGGGGAGGCATTAGAATAAAGTCAGGGTAATGTGAGTGTGAGTGCTTGATTCAGTGTCCTGGTGAAGGTGCAATCCTGTAGTAAAATCAGCCGGATTTATCCTTCTAGATATTAAGATGAGCGCAGACACGGTGGAGCAGTCGGAGGCTCCAGCCCAACAGGCAGGTAAGGATGTTTCACCTTTATCTTGCACTAAATCATCTCATAACAAACACACACAGTTCACCAGAAATGACTCAGAGTCAGAGAGCGGTCTATTCAATTAACTTCCACCGAAATACTTTGTTTGTTGTAAGTTTGACACATTCAACGTAAAAAGTATATTTCAGAAAGCTTACTTGTGTTATCGTCTGGATTATCTGTCACTAAAACTCATTTCACTCATAGATGATTATTTAGAGTTGAAATACCCCAAAACATTTAAATGCTGTCATTTGAGAATTGTTTCACTATTCCTACTTTAAAAATGACTGAAACGTCTCGTAAAAATAGTTGGCAATTCATGTTCTGTCGCTCAATTGTTATAGTTATTAAGAAGTCTCTAGTTTGCTTTAAAAACATTTTGAATTCTACCTTTTATTGGCAACATTTTACTTTTTCATTCACATGTTTTATCACTGTGCAATGGTCTTTGGGGCTGTTGTTTTATATACTATATTACATACAACGATGTTCTTCATACTGGTCCATATGATGCCTGAGGTGGTCTGAATAGAGCAGAGGTGGGTACTCAGTAAAAGTAGAAGTACCAGAGTGTAGGAATACTCTGTTTCAGTAAAAGTCCTGCATTCAAAATGTTACTCAAGTAAAAGTAGAAAAGTATTATCATCAAAATATAGTGACAGTAGCGACAGTAAAAGTAGTCGTTGTGCAGATTGGTCCATTTCAGAATAATATATATGATATGTTTTATAATGATTGATCATTAAAGTGTTCTCAAAGCTGGTAAAGGTGCAGCTAGTTTGAATGACTTTGTATACTGCAGGGTAGCTTGTGGATTTACTCCAGGTGGAACTAAAGTCTGATTCAACACTTGATTAGATTTCACATCATTCATCCACATCTGTAAAGTAACTAAAGGTATTAAATACATGTAGAGGAGTAGAAGTACAAAGTAACATCAAATGGAAATACTCAAGTAAAGTACAAGTATCTCAACATTCTCAGTACTTGAGTAAATGCACTCAGTTACTAGAGGTTGCATTTTGACCTGTTGTAGGGAGGGGTGTGTGTGTGTGTGTGTGTGTGTGTGTGTGTGTGTGTGTGTGTGTGTGTGTGTGTGTGTGTGTGTGTGTGTGTGTGTGTGTGTGTGTGTGTGTGTGTGTGTGTGTGTGTGTGTGTGTGTGTGTGTGTGTGTGTGTGTGTGGGTGTGTGTGTGTGTGTGGGTGTGCGTGTGTGATATTGTGGCAGTTGGTAGCTTTACCAGTACGGCCCTGAGGCTGTTTGCTGAGAAGCGCTGGCTGCCGAGGGCCGAGAACGAGCGGCGCCAAAACAAGGAACCAGAAAAAGTGGAACTATTATTTAGACAATCGCCTGTGAGAGAAGTTAACATCTCAATTTAATGGAAGTACTGGCTGTGTTTTTGTCAAAATATAGTAATCCCTTGTCAGTTTAAAGCTGAAGAAATGTTCCTGCCGCTCTCATCATCTGTCACTTGTTAGGAGCCATGAGCGCATTAAATGTTAGTTCATCCAGATTACAAATTAAACACGTTTTCTCTCACATGCTCTTCGTAGCATCTCTGCATGCAGATAGTTTTGGTTTTACTTGTCAATGTTTTTAAGTATGTTGACCTTCACGCTAATACAAAGTGAGGGAGAAGTATGGTGCTCAGAGGCAGAGCATTGAAAAAAATGACATTTAAAGCAAAATGATTTTAGTATTAAGAGACTCCTTCCTCAAAAGAAAAAACCATGTCACTATGACTTGGACACTTATTTGTAAAAACACATTGATACATGGTGTTGATTGTTTTACTATGTCATCGTGGGAGCAACAGAGACTAAATTCTCCTCACCTCTACTGTACCTAAAAAGACTCTCAGAGACAAACCTTACCAGATAGAACCAAAACTATCTGTGTGCTGAGAAAGCACCACGGGTAAGCTAGAGAGTTTTTATCATTTGGGTACACTGACCCTTTGACTCGTGAAGTGAAGCAGGAGAGAAACGTTGTAATCCTGGTTCTCATATTAACAGCTGAGCGTCTGTGTAGTGAGTCCGATCACTTTGTCCAATCCAGTCTCTCAGAGTTGTACATTTAGGTATACATCTAATAGTTGAATCTAATCGTTTATAATTATTATTGGTTGTCGGGTTGATGGTAGGAAATGTTTGACAATGGAGAGGAGTTTTCAGTCTTGTGTAAGTTTAAGTGTAGGGAAACATAATTAAAGTTAAACTGACCACGCCCATGATCTTCCCTGTATCGTGTGGGTGACCTTACATTAGCACAGGAAAGTCTAATGATGTTGTTCAAGACACAATATCATAGAAAATAAAGCTGGGTAAACATTTTTGCAAATAGCTTCTGTATTTTTGGCAACTTTGTTTATTAAAAATGTTCACTCTCACGTTGAACACTTTTAGAAGTTTCTCATAAAATGCAAATGAGCATTTTTTAAAACATTATAATTCATATTTTACCATTATTTAAATGGTATTCGGTAGGATTTTTAATCTGTCAGGTGTGTGACAATAAACATTCATGTGCTGGCCAACCTGTGTCTGAGTTCACATTTAACCATTTGCATTTTTGTGTAGCTTTCTGCACTGATAGAGCATGTTAGGATCACAGTGAGCAGTCAGATAGGAAGGAAGATAACAGCACTAGTTTCTGTTTGGAAAACCTGCACGCATTGAATACAAGTGAGTTGTGAGTTAGAAAGATCATCACATACATACTGAACATTTTGAACTAAAAGTGCATGAAGTTAACACAGGCTGAGCTGATACTCTATTAGTATGTCGTTTGTTCAGACTGGAAAATAGAACAAATTTAAGCTGGTTTAGGCATTTAGCATACTATAGCATGATATCCCGTTCCTTTACAACAGGGGTCTCAAACTCAAATACACAGTGGGCCAACATTTTAAAATGGGTACTAGTGGAGGGCCGGACTGGTTCAATGTTTATTGCAGAACTTATTGAAATGAACTTATTGCACATATTAAACCTAGAACTCACAAAGCTTAAATTGTTGCCTATAAAAACAACATTAAACATTAAATAATCAGTTGCATTCATTTCTTATGGCTCTATCTGCAGATTTTCCAGAGTCATTTCTTATGAGTACATTTTTCCACAGGCCAACAACAGCTTCAACAAAACTATTCCCCTCAAAGAACAAACCAAACATGCCCTGTTATCGTGAGAGAGAAAGTGCAGAAGGAAACATCCATTAAACTCAGGTTGCTGCTCTGTGATGCTAGTTCAGATACTTGGCATCTCATCTTGGGTGCAAGTTCATCAATGTTTGGGCTCAGGCTCTGAGCTGAGGAGACCCTCAGGATGGAGTGAAGGTGTGCGTACAATATACCGGCAGGCCAGATAGTAATTAGAAATTATCCTGTGGGCCGAAATTAAATCCACGAGGGCCTGATTTGGCCCCCGGGCCTTGAGTTTGACACATGTGCTTTACAACGTATACATCCTAATAAAACAGTGACCCGTAGAAGAAGTTGCTTTCTAGCATTGGCGACTCACACCGCAGAGATAAGAGAGGAAGACGGATCTTTCCAAAAAAGACAGTATGACGATATAATCAAAGCCTTTCAGAGATTGAGAGATAATGTTGCTAATAGTTTAGCCTTATGCTAGCCGGGAGCTACCAGCTACTGATGAAGCAGCGGAATAAACTGTTAGCAACTTTTCCCCTCTGTCTCTGCAATGCTTTCGCAATATGTTTTTTAGCTAGAGCCTCAAATCTCAGGATGTCATCTCAAAGGTCTTTACACGCCCGCAGGTTTACAAAAACAAATCTAGGGTACCACTTGATTTTCAATATGGTGAAAAACTATCCTGGGATTTTTTCCCAAATGAGGCCAAAATTCAACTGTCTTCATAATCAAAATCAAAATCATAATGTATAACATCAGCTGGATTATTCAGTTAAGTAATGTCCCATAATGCAATGCACAATGGAAAACAAGGAGCTGCTGACATGTCTATCTATCTATGACTATTATGGATTGTCCAAAAGGATATATTTACTTGCAACATGCCCACTACTACCAGAGGTAGGAGAAGTACTCAGATCTAGTACTTGAGTAAAAGTAGAAGTACCAGAGTAGGAATATTCTGTTACAGTAAAAGTCCTGTATTCTAAATGTTACTCAAGTAAAAGTACAAAAGTATTATCATCAAAATATAGTGAAAGTAGCGACAGTAAAAGTAGTCATTGTGCAGATTGGTCCATTTCAGAATAATATATATGATATGTTTTATAATGATTGATCATGAAAGTGTTCTCAAAGCTGGTAAAGGTGCAGCTAGTTTGAAGGTCATTGTATACTGCAGGGTAGCTTGTGGATTTACTCCAGGTGGAACTAAAGTCTGATTTAACACTTGATTAGATTTCACATCATTCATCCAGATCTGTAAAGTAACGGATCAGGGGGTCACAGGTTCAAACCCCACTGCAGTCAGCATGTCGTTGTGTCCCTGAGACACTTCACTCCAAATTGCTCCTGTGGGGATTGTCCTCAGTATTGAGTATGTTAGTCGCTTTGGATAAAAGCGTCTAACAAGTGACATGTCATGTAAAAACAGAAGGTATTAAATACATGTAGAGGAGTAAAAGTACACCATTTACCTCTGAATGGTAGTGGAGTAGACGTATAAAGTAGCCTAACATGGAAATAAACAAGTATCAAGTATCTCAAAGTTGTACTTCAGCACAGTACTTGAGTAAATCTACTTAGTTACTTCCCACCTCTGATTTTACCATATAATGAATGCCTGACAGACAGAGTGAAGGACAAAGCAACTGTTGAAAAGGAGATTTTTTTTGTGTCCCACCATTTCCAGAGTGTGTGTGCAGGCCTCTCTCACACACACACACACACACACACACACACACACACACACACACACAGGCTTCCTGCGCTCGCAGCTGATTTGCATGTCTTGGTAATTTCCATACTGGAAGTTTGGCTGTGAAGTGGGGGGGCAGTGACAGAGTGGGGAGGGGGGAGAGTTTATAGGTGTATTTGCATTGTGTGTCTCATGAGCAGCCTCTGTCACACACACACACACACACACACACACACACACACACACACACACACACACACACACACACACACACACACACACACACAGAGTCCATATGGCCCAATTTGACATTCAAATGATGCAAGTTTAACCAGCACACCTTTAAACTCCCCTCCTCTGTCGGACTCTGCACTGCTGCTGCTGCACACAAAGACTTTTAACCATTTTTTATTTACGTAAAAAGTCCGCAGCAACTGCAGTTAATATGCTGCATAGTTACAGAATATGTACTTTCCTTTTTACAAACCTTCACGTGTGTATATGAAACACCTAATACATTACTTACCAGGCTCTGCGTGTAATGAAATTGGGATATTACCTCACTTTCAATTATGTATTTTATTATGCTTTATAAGTTATGGTTGCATACCTATGCTCATATTTTAAGTATAGTATATATAACACACAATAAACCAAGATAGAGATGAAACTGAACTTACTTTGTTGTTTTTAATCAATTCTCTATTAATACTTGTGGCAATATTCAAAACTCTGATAAGAGAGACAGCTTACCACACTATACTTGCATATATGAATGTTTTATATCACAGTATGTTCCTATTCTTTACTTGTAGTCACGGTTTTGTTTTGTTTTGTTTTTGTTGGTATTTTCTTATTATTCCATTTTTAATATGTGTTTTTATTCAGTTGTTATTGTTGTATCAAGGTGTTGTGATTTATGGTTTTGACAATTTAATCAAATTCGAATTGTATATCTTATTTGTAATACTATAACTCTGAATCATGTTAGAAACTAGATGTGTTGGATGTAACATGATATCTCTTGGGTTCAAATATAGATCAAATTAAACAACGACAAAAAAGCCAAAAAGTTAACTTAACTTTTTCAGGAAAAACTTTGTTGGACTTTAATTGTATTTGAAATATATTTAGATGAAAGCTTACTGATCCAATTTGGCAATAATGTCAATGCAGCCGTGTATACAAAAAAACAAACTGTTGACACTGAATGTCTAACGTGTCTAATTTACCCTCGTAAACATTGAACACAAACACACTTAATATGATCTTGAAGTCCTTATAAGCATTTTATAATCTGAACCTCTTTCCCTCCTTTCTGACATTTAGAGCAAAATGGAATCGGCTTCAATCGACACGTGAGTAAAGTTTTAAATAAAGTGACCAAATTCCTATGAATTAGGATTTCATGAATGAGGTGTCTGTCACCTGGAGGATGATGCGAAACCCTTCCCCTGTTCAGACACAGTCATGTTTGCATGGAGCTCAGCGGGTGGAAATGTTTCAAGGTTTCACGCTTTCATTAAAGTAACTTCATTTTGTTCCTTAGATAACTCCAACTGCCAGTAAAAGGTGTGTGTGTGTGTGCGTGTGCGTGTGCGTGTGCGTGTGTGTGTGTGTGTGTGTGTGTGTGTGTGTGTGTGTGTGTGTGTGTGTGTGTGTGTGTGTGTGTGGTCTAGCATTACTATACTTGTGGGGACCTAAATATGTTTACACAGTCACGTGTGTGGACTCGCCTCCCTTATGGGGACAAATTGGAGGTCCCCATAAGAGGTATCATTAATTTTAGGGTGAAGACTTGGTTAGGGTTAGGGTTAGGGTTAGGCATGTGTTGGTTATGGTTAAGGTTGGGATAAGTCTCCAGGAAATGCATGTAAGTCAATGTAATGTCCCCTGAAGTGATGTATACATGGTATGTGTGTGTGTGTGTGTGTGTGTGTGTGTGTGTGTGTGTGTGTGTGTGTGTGTGTGTGTGTGTGTGTGTGTGTGTGTGTGTGTGTGTGTGTGTGTGTGTGTGTGTGTGTGTGTAGGTGTTGGGGTCAGATGGTCACAGGTTCAAACCCCACTGCAGTCAGCATGTCGTTGTGTCCCTGAGACACTTCAACCCCAAATTGCTCACGTGGGGATTGCCCACAGTATTGAGTATGTTAGTCGCTTTGGATAAAAGTGTCCAACCAGTGAAATGTAATGTCATGTACATTTCCATTAGTAAAAATAGAATTTTTTCTCATCCACAAAAATGGATGAGAGTGTTTACCTGGACCGGTAAAAAGATATTTGTCAAAAAAAGTCAATAACGAACGTAATCCACGGGACCATTTCCTCAGAGAGTAATTCACAATCAAGTTTTATTGTATGGAAATGTTATAATGTTGTAAGAGACCAGGATGGAAGAAAGGTTTCAGTGGGATTGAGTGAATTGTTTGATGTTTCAGGAAAGAAACAAAGCTCTATGGCACACAGGAGAATTTGAGCCTTTGGATACACAGACAATCCTTGAAGGAAAGAAGTGTATTCATGTTCTTTGTCAAACCTCAGAACATATTTAAAAAGGTAATAACATGACTTTTTGTACCTGTAGTAAGGAATACAAATAGCTGAGAGCCATTGTACCCGAGACGCAACGGACTGCAACAAGCTAACATCCTGGGGACAAACTACCCGCTCTTTAGAAACATCTCAAATAGTTTGCAGCTGTTTGGATACTTATCCAAACACCGTTTTTGGCGAGAGTATGAACAATTATTTCAGTGCGTGTTTTCAGGAAGTGGCATGGCTTTCGGGGGTGGGTGGTGCAAGAGAGGGGGGGAGAGGGGAGGTTTATTTGCATACTGGCTTGCCCAAGGGTAGAGAGAGCGTCTATCACTCTTTGTATCATGTTGAGTGACCAAACTGGTCCTGGAGTGTGTTTTTCTCTTCACACACACACGTCAACATGCAGTCATTTGCCCCTGGGAATATACACAGACAATGTTTCCCATCCTGTTAATGGTTTAAGCTCCTCTCGAGAAACCAGAGTGAATACAGTTTAGAGATTATTTACGGACAATGTTCTCCAGCCTTATTATTTATAAAAGTTAATACCGTTTTGGTTGTGCTTTCGGTGTTTTAGATAAAAACAGAGCAGATCATCGACTCGCCTCACTCAGTCGCCGCACTGAAGACATGCCACCTGCCGCAGAGCTCTGCTGGAGGTCAGCTGCCTGGGGTCTGTTGTTTTTTTAAAGCAATATTATTATCATGCAAGTATCAAGATTAGAAGTACTCATTATGCCTCCATTTTTTTTGCATCACGTCCTTTACTGCTGTAGACAAACAAAGCTCTGATTGGCTGCAGGGTCTCTGCATATACACTAAACACACCGAGAGGGTTCATATTTGAATAAATCAATTCATTGTTATTATACCTTTAACCCTCCTGTTGTCTTCGGGTCAAATCTGACCGATTTACTACTTTCATCAATCAAAACTTTTTTGTTTTACATTCGATTGCATTAAGGCTTCATGATATCCTTCACAGTAGACATTTGAACATATAAAATGGCTGATCACCACTTTCATTGCATTTTGGATGATTTAGTCAACTTTGTAACACCATGGTGTTCCCGGTCTTAGGAATTAGTAACCATCCAGATCAGATAAAACACACCCACACAGAACAATTTGACCCATGTCCCGCTCTTATGTGCCCATCCCCCCACATGGATCACACCTGGCACACGCAATACATGTTCAGTGTCTGTTCTTTGTATATTTACTGCAGTTTTTCATGTATACCAGTAGTCTGATACAATATTTACAGTTTGAAAGGGTGTTCAATTAAATGTGGTGATGATGAATGGTTTTTGTGTTAATGTAATAGCAGTTAAAACAGGACCGGTCAAATTTGACCACGAACACCAAAGTAAGGGGGGGGGGGGGGGGGGGGGGGGGGGGGGAACGAAGACAATAGGAGGGTTAAATGATTTCATAATTTCTTGGCAGTGCACAAGGCCAAGTCATTCATTCCAGCTTCCCCCCACCTCCCTCCATAGTGCTCTTGTTGTAGAAAGCTTGTTTAATTAAGCTTTATATTAGCTAAGGGATTAGTTAACGAACCATGAGGATACACTTGCTTTGTAAGGGATTATGGTGGTAAATGGCTGTTAGAGAGGATATCAAGAGATTATAGCTTCTCATTAAAATATGCTATGGACTTTATGGAAAGCGTGTCTGGCTACTACATGCACACAAATATCCAAAATGTAGGTTTGAATAAATTGAAGCCACACATTACAACCTGTATACACTGTATAGGAATTAATAAAACCGTGGAGTTAAAGTGCTGTAAGTTCCTAAATGCAGAACAGTCACTGCTAACTCAACACTGAACATATGCATATGAAACAGACACTGTGGATGTAGCCGTTAGTCTTTATTCATCAGTGAGTCAGGACTGATATTGTTATTGTTTGTTTTTTCTCTCTCCTCCAGGAGCTCACGTCTCTCCACAGCATGCAGCAGCTGGTCCTGATGCCTCCGTCTCACCTGACCTCCCCCCCCCCCCTTCCTGCTCTCCCAGAGCCCCACCAGCCACCAAGGTGCAGCTTTTTAAGTTGTTTTAAGGGATTTAAGCCTCAATTATAGTTTAAAAAATCATTTGAGAGATGCCATTTGAGGGACTAACATTTGGGGAAATGTTCTTAATCAGACTTCTTGCAGAGACTTTTTTGAAAAGATCTACTCTCATGTTTGTATGATAAATATCAATATAAATCTACTGACAGCAGCCGGTCATTTATGCTTACATTAAGACTGGAAACTGTGTAAATCAGCTAGCCAGATTCTGTCCAAAGGGAACACAATCTACCAGCTACCCTCATCTTACTTAGTATCACTCACTGTCTGTTTCACCTATATAATAACCAAGGTATACAAATAACACATTGACATTTTAGCAGATAAGCTGTGTTCTAGGATAAGTGCAAACTATTACAAAATGTATTTTCTTTCTTTCCAAGAGTTTACATAAAACTGGTATCATATGTCTGGATTTTAAATACAGAGCTGAAGTAAGGACATTGTTCGCCTAGCATATGATCAGGGGTGAAAGCAGGGTCTGTGCATAAATGTTTTATAAAGTCTGCTTTACAGCTACTAAAGTAATAGGATTTGTGATTTTAGGGGGATTCCCTATTGACGGACAACAGTATATCCATTCGCCCAACACGTCTGCCTATGTCCAAAGTAAAAAGAAACACAGTGTGCTTTTGGTGGAAGATATTGGATCTATTTCTTGACAAACATCAACAGCTTCCAAGAGCATTGCACTCACAAACCAAATAATTGATCAAAACTTGTTGTTCTTCGCAGCACTTCTGCAGCAGAACCTGCTGAGTCAAACAAATCTCCTCCAGCATCAGCCTGGACTGGCGCTGACTCCACAGGTACATCCTGAATACTTCCTATCGGCACACTCAGCACCAGTATCACACAACTCAACTGTTTTGCTTCACTCTCATCCACTATGGATGCAGCTGCAAAAACAATCCTAAAAACCTACTGTACAATAACTGCTCAGCAGAAATCAGACACAGTCAGAGACTAGATGTTGAACATAATCTAGCATTGGCAGCTAAAGAGACATATTTACCTCAGGAGTTGGTGGAGACCAAAAACAGAGCTGAAAGAATAAAATGGACACAAACTCTGCCTCACTAATGATCTCTCTAGCTCTGTTACTGCTGGATGTGCTGTCAGTTATATTTTGAGCTAGTTGCTGCTGCCATCTAGTGGCCGGAATGTGTTAGTTCAGGTTTAAAGTACAATAAATAGTAAGAAAGATAACAGCAGAGCAATCCAAACATCTGACCAAGTACATGTGAAGTATTTCAGATATGAAGACAGTTAACCCAACCCAAAAATCAACTTCTTGACTCTTAACGAAAACAAGACAGAGATTATCATATTTGGACAGTCTGAACTCCTGGATGGCTTTAATAGTGTACTCGGCCCCTTAGCCTCCTACAGCCGTCCCTCTGTCAGAAATCTTGGAGTCATCTTTGACAACTGTTTTAAATTTGATAAACAGATAAGCTCAGTTGTCAAGACGAGCTTCTTCCAGCTGCGGCTTCTGGGGAAGGTAAAAGCCTATCTTCCTAGTAAGGAATTTGAACAGCTAATCGACTTATTTATAACGTCTCGTTTAGACTATTGTAACTCCCTCTATATTGGTGTTGACAAGTGTTTGATCCGTCGCCTGCAGCTGGTCCAAAATGCGGCTGCACGCCTTCTTACTAGGAAGAGACGTTATGACCACATCACACCCGTTTTGGCAGACCTTCATTGACTTCCTGTCAGTTACAGGATCCAGTTCAAGTACTTACTTGTTGTTTTTAAATCATTGCATGGACTGGCACCACATTACCTGTCTGAGTTGTTGCACCGCCATGCTCCAGCTAGAGCATTGCGCTCAGCTCAGCAGAATATGTTGGTGGTTCCTCGGAGCAGGAAAAAAACCAGAGGTGACAGGGCCTTCAGTGTTGCAGCTCAGTGACAGGGCCTTCAGTGTTGCAGCTCAGTGACAGGGCCTTCAGTGTTGCAGCTCAGTGACAGGGCTTTCAGTGTTGCAGCTCCCAGACTGTGGAACAGCCTCCCAGCACATATCCGGACTGCTGAGTCTATTGAACTTTTTAAATCTCAGCTAAAAACTCACCTCTTTGCACTGGCTTTTAATACTAGTTGAACATTACATTTTTATATTTGTATGTGTTTTTTATTTATTTATTTTGTATATGTTTCTAGTTATTGTGCTTTTTATTATGTTTTTAATTCTCCCATTGTGTTATTTAATATTGTAGTTACTGCCTGTACAGCACTTTGGTCAACTGAAGGTTGTTTTAAATGTGCTATATAAATAAATAAAGATTGAGATTGAGATTGAACCCTAATTTGTGTCACATTTTTCTGTGATGTCCCTCTGATCCAGGCAATGAGCCGCTCTGGTCTGGCTGGGCCGTCCATGGAGAACCACATGGACATGTCCCACCTGCAGATGCCCAAACACATGTCCGTGCCCCCCCAGGAGGAACCCTCCGACCTGGAAGAGCTGGAGCTGTTTGCTAAGGCATTCAAACAAAGACGCATCAAACTGGGATTCACACAGGTCAGTACTGCAAGTGGAAAAACCACGTGTTACCTCTTGAAAAAAAGACTTCAACATTATTGTTCTTGTCTAACTCCATGGTGAACAAAGACCTTCAAAACTGAGAAAAGTGTTGATAAATGTACTTCATTTGTGTGTGTTTTCACAGGGAGATGTGGGCCTTGCAATGGGAAAACTGTACGGGAATGATTTCAGTCAGACCACAATCTCTCGCTTCGAGGCTCTCAACCTCAGCTTCAAGAACATGTGCAAGCTCAAACCTCTGCTGGAGAAATGGCTGAGTGATGCAGGTACAACACACTGACCACCATTTGTTATTAATGTACCAGTGATTATTCTGGAGGGGCTAGAAAAAAAGGATAGCAAACGTACAACTCAATGAAATTGTCTATATAAGAAAAATGTAATGCTGAAAAACAACTTGGCCTATAATTTAGAGTGAAAAGCCTATTAAGAAATGTCATTAATACTTTAAAACTAGTTCTGCATCACAAATACAACTGTGACATGCATTGTTGTTCAAAGTTGACGATGAATGTCTATGTTGTATATTGATCTTTTCACATCAGAGAACTCCCCTTCTGACTCGATGAGCAGCACTTCTCTGCCGCCCCTGATCGAGGGCTACGGACGCAAACGGAAAAAAAGGACAAGCATTGAAACAAACATCAAGATGACTCTGGAGAAACGTTTCCGTGACGTAAGTTCACGACTGAATCAGAGTTTAACAAGTCTCAATAGTGAGGGCTTTCTAAATTATATCGTTTGTTGTTTAGGAAAATAAAAGTTAAACTGCTCTGTCGATTAGATTACACATGTTGTGCTTTTATCTTAATGTGTGCATATGTATACATGTGTCTGTTGATTGTGTATATGTAGGATATATATATGTTTATATATATTTGTATTGTGGGGATTGTGGAAAACGGTATTTCGATCTCTCTGTCTGTACACAAACTGAAAGATTGACAATAAAGTTGACTTTGATTAGATTCAACTGTATTGTCATTGTGCAGAGGACAAGGAATGGTTTACCTTAAAAATGTACAGGCTTAATCTCAAAGAGGGAATCATTAACTTTTTTATTTATTTTCAGAACCCTAAGCCAAACTCAGAGGAGATAACTCTGATCTCGGAGCAGCTGTCCATGGAGAAGGAGGTGGTTCGAGTTTGGTTTTGTAATCGGCGTCAGAAGGAGAAGAGGATCTATTGCCCTGTGACGAGTTTATCCGTCAAGAATCACAGCTACAACTCCAGAATGGTTAGCCGTCTAAAACATCCATCTCTTTTATATAAAAATGGGAAATAGTATTCCCATGTGGTGGAAAACACACTGAATTCATAAGTGGAACGGTCCTTTTGACAGTGTAATATTATTTTACATTGTTATGGTATTCTACTTTGATCACTAACACCTGAATGTAAGTATGTTTTAGTGTTGTTGTCAACATGGAGGCAATTGTTGCACCTTTATATACTACTGGGTAGAATAGGATACTGCTTTAAAATGTTGAGTAGGCCTACGGATGCATTATGAGCTAAATGTATTTCATGTGTCAAAAGTGAATGTCTTCATAATGCAGAATGGCTCCTTTTAAATGGTTATGGTATTATAGATTTGTATATTCTGTTGAATAGGTTTAAAAAAGCAAATATATTGCACAGAAATAAAAATAAGTTGGCTTTATCTTCATTTTCACTGTTTCAGGCCGCAGTATCCAGACCATACAGTCCTCTGGCTTCAGGCGGAGGCAAGTACAAGTGTTTTACATTCAAATATTGATAAAGAGCCTCTTATGTGCCTCCTTTTAGAAAGCACTTTGAATTGCTTTGTGGTGAAAGGTACAAATAAACTTGCCTTTCCTTCCTATTCTGCAACACAGTCTCACGGCATTTCGTGTTATAGTCACAAAATTAATCTATTGATTCGTGTTCACCAACACGATTTTGCCATTTTTTTAAAGCAAAGTAAATAATTACAGATTAGAAGGAAAAACAGATTTAAAAAAATACAGATTTCAGTATTCTGACACAGAGCGATTTTAGAAGCAATGTATTTCTATTGGTAGTATGTTTCGTACCTGCACCAAATAATAACAAATTAGAAGGAAAAATAGATGACAACAAATACAGATCTCAGTATTCTGAGGCTCTGAGCCATTTATTTTCCTCGTGGACGGCAAAAAAACTCCGACATTATACAATTTAAAATAAAAGGGTTAGGGTTAGGGTAAGATATTGAGTAAGAAAATGTTTTTATGAACCACACAGCTTCTCGTCTTCCAAGACCCGACCGGAAAAAAGACGTGATGCAGGCACGAAACACACTACCAATAGAAATACATTGCTTTTCAAATCGTTCTGTGACACGAAAAAAATAAGAAAATCGTGTCGGTGAACACGAATCAATAGATTAAATTAATTTCGTTACTATAACATGAAATGTCGTGAGACTGGGTTGTGTTGTAACCTGATCATATTTCTCTATATTGTTACTGACACTGGGGGTTACGGTCTTACACAGTGTTCCCCTGTGTGAAAGTTAATTGTTGACCTTGGAAATAACATTTGTTATCTCTTTTTCCCTATCAAGGGTCTCATTTGCACAGATAGCAAAACAACACATATTGGTGGGTTTCTGCATGTGTGTGATTACATTTTATAATAATGTGTTTACCTTTTCCTTCCAGTTTCATCAAATTCCTCTCCAAACAGTGGGAGCCGTGAAGCTTCTCCCAACGGCATGTCCTCCTCCTCAGCCTCCGTCTCTCTGACCTCTCAGGTTAACCCGTCCTACAGCGCACCAGGGTGAGAACGAGCTGCAATGATATATGTTCTTTAAAATACTTTCGATATAGAAGAACACACACTTTCAGCTGTCCCGCAAAGAATACTTACATGTGCTGGTTGGCAGGTTTTGTAAGCATTGGGGCCGAATAAGCCAAGCAGGTTGCTTTTGTTGTTTGTGTTTGTGCTACGCTAAGCTAAACTGCTAATTTATGAAGCTACCGCCAAAAGGAGCTTAGCTTAGTTTAGCATAAAGACTGCAACTTGTGGAAACAGCTAGCCAAAGCTGATGAAATGTACCTACCAGCATCTCTAAATATAACTTTTTCACACGTTATATATTGTACATTTAATCTCTATAAAAAATTAAAGGGTAAATACAACAGTGTGGATTCATAGCAGCAAGAAAACCAATAAGCAAAAGCATTTGACTATTTCTTAAAATGAATTGCTGAATGAATTTAAGATCCTTTGCTAGTCAAATGTTAAGTAGGTTACTGAATACTCCACTACAAGTTACAATTCTGCATTCAAAGTCTTACTTATTTTTTGAAGATGCATTTTCAGGCTGATACAAGAAGCTTTATAATATGTTAATTTAACATAAGAAGTAGGAATAGTCTTCATCATTAAGGGCACTTCATCCTTAATCAGAAACATTCAAAATCAACAAATCCAGAGTTTTCACTTGACAGGAAAGCGATAAAATGCAGTGGATTAGAAATAAGGCAGCATAAACTTGATACTAGAGTTCAAGTATCTCAAATTTGCACTTGGGAACATTTACTTTACAATCTTGTGATCCTCTCAGGTCTTGGTATCGGACGTGGAACCCTGCAGCGTATCATCACTGAGAAACATGAACTGTACCACATGAAGCTTTTGTTTTGAGAAGGATGTACAATGAAGATTTGTGAAGGAGTAATAACGCTTGTTATGAACAGGGTTACACAGCTTAAGGCTAACCCCCATAAGAACAGCAGAGGACTGCAAACACACCACACCAACTGCTGTTAGGACAGCCTCAAGCTGTTTGATCTGTGTTCATTGACTCAGTGTAACAGCTGCAAAGGGGGCGAACACACAGAACGACCTGCAGGGTATCTGATACACTAGTGAGGATTCTCATCTGCAAACCTGTACAACTCAAATACTTTGTTTGATGTTTGTGTGCTAAACTGTTGCTTTTTCTGCCATATGCTTGCTGTCTACAGTTGTTGCTGTTTATTATATGTTTTTATTTGAGTGAATATTGTATTAGTGAGTTTGATTCAATACCATTTACTGCTCGCCCGTCTGAATAAACACGCAGTCAAAATAAAGGGGTTCATCATGACTGGAGCAAAAAGCCTTATATTTAACCTTATTCCAATGTACAGAGCAGCTTTTAAATTTAGTTATCGGTTATTTAAAGGTGTTTTATTGCAACTTGGGTCTAATTATTGCTGTTTTAGCCATAATTTCTGTCATGTGTGACAACAGAGACAGTCAGTTTACCTTCCTGTCTAGGAATTGTTTTTTTATGAATGTGGGTCAATTATATTTCCACAAGATCCATCAAAAGCAGTTCTGTTCATTATTAATGATTCTTTGCACTCCAAAAAGACTCATTGATGTTTGTTTACAACAACATGATCATCTGCTCATTTTATTACATTACATTACATTGCATTTAGCTGACGCTTTTGTCCAAAGCGACTTACAATAAGTACATTTTATGTTCCCTGCCGGACCACTTTTTAGCACATTTCGTTCCCAGAGCTAAGTGATTATCTTGGTGAAAACTTCAAAAAAAGTAAGACCAGCTGTACTAAACCAGAATAAAGTCAGAACTGCTTTAGTTATTTCACATGTGATTGATTGTTGTTCCTATTTCACATGTGATAAATCAAAATATTTGTATTTTTCGCCTTGCTTTTCACCGAGGAAGCAGGTTAGCTTTAGTTATTTTGTTATTAAATCCCACAAGGAAACCAAGAGCAACCCTGTGGCAGTCCGTCCCGTGTCTATGGCTCTTTCGTAACAGCAGGTACATTTTTAACTAAAGTAGAGTTTTCTTTGCTGAAGGTTTGAACTGTGCTCTGAGCCTTTTTAACTTTTATCCCCTGGACCGATATTAACTTTTGTTTTCTGTAATTAAAATGAGGAAAGAATCAGGGTTTGGCTTTTCTTTTTAATTGGTCAATCTAATTGTTTCTACCTGAAAGCACCTCCTGAAGTCTGTCTGTATTCAAAGGTCAGAGTTTAGTGAAGTTACACTTTGGATGTAAAACATTTCTAGACAATCCAAAGCTCCTTTTCAGACAGTGAATAAATAACATTACTTATATGTTGATGTGATTGTTGTTTTCTTTGTCACCCTGGACTTGGTTTTACGTATAGAAATGTTCCTCGGGACCAAAAGTTCTCCCTTTAATGACAAAATACTATATAATGTGAAATGGGGATCGATGTAAAAACTTCAAAGACAGAAATGTACAAAAAATGCACAGTTTAATGATAAAAGATTATTAAAACAAACAAGCAAAAAAGAGTTGATTAGTCATAAAAAAGCTTTGTCTCCATAAAGACATTTTGTTCTCTGCTTCAAAATAAGAAGGCTTCAATTGTTTGTTTAGTGCCGTGAATCTTCTGCTGGTGGTTTCCATTCTGCTTAAACGGAAAAGGTTTGTCCCAAAGTATCCTGAGGTCAGTTTCTGCATTGTCCCTGATTTCTTTGTTGGCGGGATTGATCATGTTTCAGATTGCTTTGAACCTGAAGTATGACACCTGAGGAAAGATGTGAAACAGTTTATTAGCTTAGCTCAAAGACTGAAAACAGGAGATAAGGGTCTGGCTTTTTTTTCACAGTTATACGAATCTAAATACTAGCATATCTAAAGAGCTCAAATTAATCACATTACAATCGATGAGCACATACTAACGAAAAAACAAACAAATTATAGCTTTCACATTTCTGCTTTTCTATTGAATACTATCCTACAACAACCAAGATATAATATGTTAGTAGGTTTAAGTAACGTGCTGGTAGACAGATTTATTCCATTTGGACAGAGCCTGGCTGCTTCCAGTCTTCAAGCTAAGTTTAACGCCTCCTGACTATTTTGTTTTGTTCGTTTAAAAAAAGCCAATATAATATGTTTAAGTAAAATGCTATCAGTACTTACCCTCTGGCTCATGGGCTTCGTCGACACCAACCCTGAGCTTCTTTGTAAACAAGCCTGGTCAAAAACTGAAAACAAACAATGGGTCAGTCCGGGTGTTGCTACTGGACTTTTATAAGCAGTAATGACAAAAAGATCTTAAAGAGTTCAGGGAATGAAGGAGTGTTTCTGACCAGGCAGGCGAGGAGGTCTGCAGAGATGAGCATGTAGAAGACGTTGTTCCAGCCGGTGGGAGAGATCAGACCTGCTAACAGAGGACCCACCGCAGCGCCTGGAGAACACACACACACATTAATAGACGGACGCCTGACTCTTTTAACATGAAGAAGTTTCATACTTTTAGACTTTTTAGAAACCTAGTTTTTTATATAATGTTATAAAGTGCTAAAATGGGTTCAGTAATATAGAATAATACAAGAGGTTTTGTTTTTGGTTCAGGCTGTTTGTTCGTCAGCAGGAATAATACAGCTTGATCGGATCCGAAGCCTCCGTACGTACCTACTGATCCAGTCCCGTCAATGATGGCCGTTACTGTTGACAACGCTCTGGAGTTTCCTCTCAGACTCTCATGTGTTCCCTAGTTACACAAAGGAACAAAATAGAAAAGCATCACAATCACAATATACCAAAACGCATCAAATGGAAATACTTCAAAATGAAACCTGAAGAAGTGCCTGATTAAAAGTGCTTAGTTACATTCCACCACTGTAAAGACTTTAAGTAGCGAGTATGGTTTGAATGTCTAATAAGGCAAAGACTAGGGGATTCCCACTATCAGATTTAAATTTAAAGATTTGATATACAGTATTTGTCATTTGTACAAATTTGTGTCATTTAAAATAGCTTTAAACGTTTTTTGAAATAGTCTGTTTTTATTGTACATGTTTTGCTACATATTCTTCTTTCTGTGTCTTTGTATGCACATATACCAAAGTAAATTCCTCGTATGTGTAAACCTACTACCTAGATTGTGATTCTGCATCAGGTCTTACCAGGTCAGCAGACACAGCCGTAGTGATGAGAGCGTACGGCCCGTTCACCAGGCCTCCACACAGCAGCAGCATACCTTCACATGGAGAAAAAACTGTTTCTAAAACCACTTCCTTTCAATAAAAAAATCTATGTGTTTTCGACATTGTAGATGAATAAATTCAGTTTCAAAGTCAACTCATTTTGTGCTTTTTAAACAAAACAAGCCTGCTTTTAGTTCAGAGGAAAGCATTCATCTTAGAAAGCATTTTTGGTAAAATCTCATACATTTTCTTTTTGAATTGGTTAATTATTGCGGGAAAAAATAAAACCTTACAGAGAGACCAAACTATAATTATTTAAAGTGCTCTTACCGACTGTAGCACCAATGCTGCTTTGCCCGATGTAATTATAGAGGAAAAGCTGAAACATGAAGAGAAAAAACATCAGCATGAATATTGCAAATAACACACAATAACACAAATAAAGGCACAGTCTCATATTTCAGCTTCTTTGCAATCATTAAAACATTTGGAATCGGCGGCTATTGGCGTAATCATTATTAAAACACAATGGTGCAATTGGGCTCTAATTGTCTGTTTTTCTTTGGGCCGTCTGCAGTCCACTCACATTGACGAGGTTTAAACTGTGATTTGTCAGCTTTTGTGGCAGGGGATTACTGACTTTGATCGGTCCACAGAGCCACTGGTTGAAAAAGTGACCTTGCAAATGTGTCATCAAACTGTGCAGTTGTAAAATAATGAGATTTATTAGATAATACTCACCATTGGGGCTGCAGCGATCAACATGAAGCAGCAGGTCGTCGCTCTCCCACCCGTGTAATCTGACACCAGGCCTGCCGCGATGCCGCCTGCAAGCACACACACACACACACACACACACACACACACACACACACACACACACACACACACACACACACACACACACACACACAGGTCAGGTCATGTGTATCTAAAATGTCACTTTGCTATGTTCTTAGTCAAACATGATATTAGGAAGGAACTCCATTTCAAAATAACAAAACATTTTAAACTTGAAGCAGATAGATAGACATTAGGTTCATTAGAGATAACAGAAACAATATGATCAGAGCTTCTGCTTTGATCTATTCATGATTTTAGAGATATTGATTAGCAGACCGGATGTTTTCCTTGCAATGACAAGGTCTAAGCTGAAGATTGTGGAAGCAAACAAATAATTTAAATCTTCTTAATTGTTCCTGTCTATTTCTTCGCTCATAAACACGTTGGATAAAGTCACATGATCAACCTGTTGAGACTCAAAGCTTACCAACGATTCCTCCAACATCGAACAGCGTTGACATGTCGCCGGCCTCTTTTGCGTCAAAATGTGCTGAAGATGAAAAAAAGAAATCTCACATTAAAAATGATTAAATGATGTAGGTTAAACCATATGACATGGATGATAGTATCTCGAATTAGAACAACATTAAATAAAGACAGTGTGCTAATACATACCAACATTTGAGATGTAGAGAGGCAGCCAGTACAGGAAGGTGTAGCTGACCAGCTTAGCGAACAGCAGGCAGAGAGAGAACTCCACTACTCCCTGTGTGAGAAAAAAACCCTTTTATTATCCCAAAATGTCTTTATTATCACACTGCTATGACTCACAATCTCTCTGCCTCTCTAGATACGTTATAATTGAATATTTGCACTTTTGTTCCATAACTGCTGCACAGCAATTTCTCTCAGGATAAAGGAATATAATAATGTCTTATCGCCCCCTTTAGTAAATTAAAGGTTCTTCTCACTATAGCAAGCGCAAACCATTATCTAGAATCAATCCTGAAAATGTCATTATTATAGCTGTAATGTTCACTAACAAGGAAGGGGAAACTAGTCAGTCTAGTATATAAACAAGCTGAATTAAACTTGAAGCACTTAATAAACTTGAATATTGTAAATCTTGTTTCAATCAGTGATAAAAAACTACTACGTGTTTATTTTGTATGCGATTATTCCATCTTTTAGGTTGTTCTCATTGTCTTAGTTCTGCTTTAAAAAAGTGTCCAAATGCCAAGTGTTATTCCTCAAATCGCCACTAGATGATACCAAAGCAAAGGATTTAAAAATTCTACACACAATTCTTGTATTTCTTTGATACAAGTTCTGGGTATACAATATATTTAGATTATATCTGTTTTAACTGCAACACTTTGTC